AGGGAAGATTGAAGGAAATCGACATCATATTCTTTGTTTTGGACATTTTGGAGTGAAATTTTCGATGGGTTACATGTTATATTATCTCCCAGTATCGTGGGGTTGCATGTCTTCGGTAATAACATGATCCTCTTTGCTCCACAGCAAGAAAAAAACACATTTTTTGCAGTCCCACTTCAACTTTTTTTTCTTCTCCACATACGTAAAGTGTGCATTGTGTTTGTTTTCGGGAAAAAGTGCATGTTTAGTTTTCAACTTTTCATCATTTTAAACATTTTTTCCACAGATTCTCTCAATGTGTACAATTGTTAATATTACTTTTATGATCAATTTGTTAATTATAAAACATTAGTTGCCTTTTATGTAATGCTCTCGTGTAAAATATAAATTATAATAACTATTTTTAAATAGAAATATATTATTATTAAATATTTAAACACAAGTCTAAAAATTAAAGTTCATGTTTTTTATTTTAAATAAAAATATGTTAATTTTAAAAGTAAGAATCAGTTTGATTTAATTGCTTAATGTTTTTAAAATTATTTCATATAATTTTAAAGAATTTTTTTAGAAATTAAAAGTATTTAAAAATCTATATTTCATAAATTTTGTTTCAAAAATAAGTTTTGAATGATATCTAACACCAATAATGATGATGATAAGAACGAAGGTCTCAATCTTCTACATTCATAGAACAGGTTTTGAAAAATATTTTTTTAAAAACTATTTAATAAGAATTAATATATAAATGATATATATTTATATATTGAATTTTAAAAACAAAATATGATTTTTTTTAAAATGTTATTATTTCAACATAATTTTTTTTTACTGTACATTACACTATATATATATATATATAAACCTTTTTTTATAAATATTGGTACATTAAAAAATATATCTTAAAATTAATAAAAATTACTTTATTCTCTGATATCTAGAAATAAAATGTTTCCCAATTCTGTTTTCACATCACAAAAAGGACGTGTATTCAATTAAATCGTATAATTTAATTATCAACTAAATTTTTATTAATTATTATGGGAACATTGTAATATTTTTACTTTGTTTTTAATTTTTAATAATTTACACAAAAAAATGATGAAAGCACTAAAATATTATTGTTACATATCTTAAAAAAAGTTAAAAAAACGTGAAATGAATAATATTTAAAAAAAAGTAAAATATATATTTCTGAAACTAAATAAATAGAAATATATATGTGTCCACCAAAGTGTCTCTAAGGTTGGACACTTCAACGTTCAGATCATAATGTATATGATAAGAGAGAAATAGCAAAACAAATAGAAAACATTGAAAACCATTAATGTATAAAACAATGGGGTAAAACTTCTATATAGAATGGGGAGGGTTCATGTTCTCCAAATAAAAATATAATAAGTAAGATTTAAATAAGATATTTACTTATTTTTATATTTGTATATTTTTTTAAAAATTTATACTTATTCTATAAATGTGTAGATAATTCATACTTGTCAATTAGTTATTTAAATTTTCATACATATCTTTATTATACCCGCTTATTGATGAAATACAATCGATCACTTCACTATTTTTTTTAATGATCTGATAACATATTAATGTTATTATAAAATAAAAAGTTAATACTATAAAAAAAAAGTTTAGGACAAATTCATATATAGATAATAAAATATGGGGATAATATTATTTTAATACTCAAATTTAGTGTCTATAACATACACCCTAAACAAATATAATATAACTATTTTTTAATTTCTATAGAATATTATAAATCCATTACTCAAAATATTAAAAACACTCTTATCCTTATTTCCAACGTTAAGTTTAAAAATTACAACCATACTTTTAGATCAATTTTCCTCCTTAAAAAATGTTTAACTAAATAAAAGAAATCCTTTACATATGGTAAGAAATTTACTGTATGCTTTTATAATTTATAATTATCTTGTTGAGTTGAATTAAAGCTATTGAATAAAAAATTGTATAACTAACTAAAATATGTAAAATGATTGAGGAGAAAGAGTTAAAGTTATTACGTGTGACTGTAAAATATTTAAAAGGTTAAAGATAAAAATAAAAATATATTAATATTTATTTTTAATAAGTTATATGCTACTTAAAGTAGTTATTCATAATTCAGCTTTGAAACTTGTAATCTGAATTTTTTTTTTGTTATCAAACAATTTTATTTGCTTATAAAGTATTAAAAAAAAACTTACAAACTTCTAAAAAATCATAAACTTATGATAATGTTTGGTGAGCAAGTGTACATCTCAAGAAGTAATAAAGAGTTCTAAAATAAATTTTTAAAATATTGTCTTAAAGAGATTGATTTCCAATTACTAAGAATTTTTTAACTTAATTATTTGAACATAATAGATATAAAATTAAGTAAAAATCAGAATTAAAAGTAAATCAACTATCAATTAGATTAAGAGCACAGAATGTAACACTTTTTTGTTAAACTTATCAAAGAGGAACATAAAGCATATGAGTTTACTCGTTCAATCCTTTATGTTATTCTTTTATTTAACTCTAAATTCAATTTCCTTGTGATTACTAATCATTCATACAATTATTATTAATACACAATAGTTATGTAATATTAATATCATTTTCTTTAAATTAACATTCCCAATGGTCATGCAAGACTTCAATAAAAAAAAAAACATAAAGCACATATAAACTTGTTAATTTAATTACTAATTGAAAGAAAAAAATTAGTTTGGTCTACCTAATCTTTTGTCTTGTTTTATCTTATAGATCTATTAACTAATCGAGGTTCTATCCCCTTATGATATAATTAATTATGATTAATAAAGAAGTGTAATAGAATAAAAACTAATCATGAATAGAAACTAAATTTAAATTCAAATATCAAAATCTCATAAATTCATAAACAAATATTCTCATAGTCCTAATTATGGACTTAGTTACTCATGTTAAGGAAAAGAATTAAAACAATCATAAACAAAGTCATAATAAAACAAAAGATAGCAAATTAGAGATTAGATAAGTTTCCAATCTTTAAATACAGTCGTTCGAAACTCTAAGTCCACTAAAACCTCGTGCAAGAGAAATAAAATGAAAGGTACATCAAAGAGCAAAAGATAAGATATCTAACTGAATGTTCTCTATTTTATAAAGTTTGAAAATCCTAAAAGATCTTCATAATTAGACTTTTCATAGATGAATACGGCTGTGCAAGGCTATAGGCATGACTATGCATGAGTTCAAAATATCTCGTGTTTATTGAAAAGATATGAACTTGCTGACTGTTGTAAATCTCTAATCTTCCATCAATTTGAACTAAAAAATACTTGTTCCCTCTTTATATTAAATTGCACAATTAATATATAAATTAATATAAAATTTAAATAAAATAAAGGATAAACATAAATATATAAGTTATAAAAGATGAATTCAATTTGTTGCTGAGACAAAAAAAAAATCTCTCTTTTAAAGTAAATTTTATACATTCAATGATAATAGGACATTTTGTTGATAAAATGTCTTCAATTTCGTTGCTGACTTGGTGGACAGAAATTAATGTATTTTTTTTATCAGCTGAAGAGAAATTATGTATGAGATGTTTGGCAGTAAGGCCCAAATACTATTCACAATTCACAGTCCTCCAATTTGATACAAGCTATTTTCCAGTTCCATGCTTTCTTTTGTTGCCCTCCATTTATCCTTTTGATTCCCCCTTTTAACTTTCTTGCAAAAATATAGCAAAGTTAAGGAGACTTGGGTCATGATTTTTCAATTACAGCAATTACTTCATCAATGTCTGAATTCAGGCTCATTAACTGTGCAAAGAACGAACGAAGACTAGAAAGATTCAAAACTTGAAGGTTGAAGCTGATGATGAATAAAGGAACCAAAAGAAATATAAATAACAAGCAATTAACAAAGAAAAAAGTTTCACCTCTGAGAAACAAGGCCTTCTGTTATCATAGAGGATATTGTGTTTGTACATCAAAATTATATTAAAAAATTATACAATAAATGAAAGATAAGAAAAGAAGAGATGCATGGTAGATAATTTGATTTATCCTTAGTATCAAAATTTGGAGTTATTTCTATTATTGCATTTTGAGGGGTTTGGATTTCAGAGGAGTCAAGGTGGAAGGATAATCAATTCAGATTTAACTTCTGAAAAACGAATAAATAAAATTTAAATAAATGCACAATTTATTACGTAAGTGCTTATATATTTTATCACAGTTTCAACTTTTAAATTTTTATTTCATAATTAAAGTTTCTAATTATACTTCCTAATCTAATCTTTAGCTTTTAAGGAATTAAATATATTTGAGAGTTTTTCAATAATATATTTTAATAATAAGTTAATTATTTTAAATATGAATGTTGATGTTTAGAAAAAAAAATTTAAATATGAAGTTTGATAAAATAATATACAGGAATATGATACGTTAAATTTACATATATAAAATTTTAAAAATCGTTAAATGATAATTTTTTATGTAGGTGTAGAAATTTGAAGATGAAATAGCTAAAAATTATTAAAAAAAATCTTTTAGAACTTAAAATAATAATTCTAAAACCTAAATTCACGGAACTATAATACAATTAAAATTAATCATTCCCAATTTCTAACTCGTATAATCTGAATCACAACTTTTAGCTCATCTCCACTCTGCATAACTATTCCTCAATACTTATGTTTTGAATTTACGATAGGGCAAATTTCAATACTTAGACGTGGAACATAAAAAAAGCAAAATTTCATTTTATTGTGTGAACTCTTTCTCCGTAACAATAAAAACAGACTAATTACTTATTTAAGTATAACGTTATCACATGTCAAGAATTATATAAAAAATTATTTATTTAATTATCACTTAATACTTTTCAGCTAACAGTGAAAACTATTTAAAAAAATAAAAAATTTAAAACTAAAAACGACAAGAAAAATTTATAAGAACTATTTACTTAAAAATAATAATAATAATAATAATAAGGATGTGTGTTCTACTGTGCATAACAAATATCGGTAGTGTCGGTTACAGTAACGGAGAAGGAAAGATTCGTTACCAAACTGTAGAATGCAACAAGTTTCAGTTGGCTTTCCGTTACCCATCGGAACTGAAGCTAGCACCTCAAAACGCCTACGTCCCCAATAATGGGTAACGCGCACGCTCGCACTCATCGCCAACACCGTAATTCCGTCCCTTACAACACGGTTCCTCCACCCTATAAATACGGCGCTCCGCCACCGTTCCCAGCCCCAAATTCCAACATGCTCTCTTTGCCTTACGCCGGCGTCGACTCCACTCTCCGAGCCCTCGCCGCCCAAGCCGAGGGCTTTGGCCGCTTTGCAATCGGTGGCCTCCACGGCCCCCTTTACCGTGTCACTTCTCTCGCAGGTTAATTCCCCTGTTTTTTCATTACTCATAAATAATTGACACTTAAATCAACAATTAATTTATAATCATAGGTTATTTTTTATTTTTACTGAAGATGATGGACCGGGATCGCTACGTGACGCGTGTCGCAGAAAAGAACCGCTGTGGATTGTGTTTGAGGTTTCGGGTACTATTCATCTCTCATCGTACTTGAGTGTGTCATCTTACAAAACTGTTGATGGTCGTGGCCAAAGGATTAAACTAACGGGGAAAGGTTTAAGGCTTAAGGAATGCGAACACGTAATAATTTGCAATTTGGAGTTAGAAGGAGGCAGAGGGGCTGATGTTGATGCCATTCAGATCAAACCCAATTCCAAACACATATGGATAGACCGTTGCACTCTTAGTGATTTTGATGATGGGCTTATAGATATCACAAGAGAAAGCACTGATATTACTATTTCTAGGTGATTTTAATAATTGCAATTTCCTTGTATTTCTTATTATTTTGCTATTTTATGTTCTTTGTTGAAAATGTTTTTTTTTTTTTTTTTTCATTTTAAGGTGTCACTTTTCTCAGCATGACAAAACTATGCTCATTGGGGCTGATCCCTCGCATGTTGGTGATAGATGCGTGAGGGTCACTATACACCATTGTTTTTTCAATGGGACTCGACAGAGGCACCCTCGTGTTAGGTTTGCAAAGGTGCATCTCTACAATAATTACACCCGAAACTGGGGCATTTATGCTGTTTGTGCAAGTGTGGAATCCCAGGTGATCGTTTGTTTATTGATTGGAAATTTATAATTCCTCTGAATTTCAGAATAATTTTTGAATTTATCGTTTGCATTATACGTTGATGCCAGATTTTCTCGCAACATAATATCTATGAAGCAGGACAGAAGAAGGTGGCATTCAAGTATCTTTCTGAGAAGGTTTGTCTACTTCTTATGTTTAGCCCCCAAGAAATTTTTTAGCTTTTTAGCTTGAATTGGAAACACATTATCGGCGATATTTCAAAGGATCTTGCAAAAATGGTGTACAAGTGTGAAAAACTGGTTTGAATCCGATCATTTTAAAGTGTGTTTTAGCTTGCTTGATGTGCTAATGTTCATCCTATGACTTGCAAGCACAACAATTCTATTAGTTATTAGTTATTTGGTTGTTCGTCTATCAATAGGCTGCTTCATTTCCCTTTTCCTGTATTCTGACATAATTTAGTATACTATCTATCCATAATCTCTTCATTACCTGCTTTCAGTGTGCCCATGAAATTATTACGGAAAAGTGATTGTTATTAGGAAAGTGATCAGTTTTCCCTGGTTCGTTTAGATTGAAAATCATTTTTAGGAAATATATGCTTTCTTATTGGTGATAGTTTCACTTCTCAGTATATATGAAATCCCAATCTGAAGTTGCTTCAGTAATCCTTTCATATTAAATTCTTAACCGTACCAAATTTGGGAATTTCTTGAACTTGCTCCAATACATTTATACGGGGCATTGTTCAGTAGCAGTTGTAGCTTCACCTAATGAAGCTTAGGATAGCAGTACCAAATTGACACCTGAATCAGAGGACATGCTCTCAGCAACTTTTTATGCTAAACTAATGAGATTGATTGCTTAGCAATAGCATGCCTAATAAAATGTAATAAAAATAAATTATTTCTTCTGATTTTTTATTTTGATCACAATACTGAATTGTTGTTGTTGACATCACCGCAGGCAGCAGATAAGGAAGTGGGAGCAACTGGTCACATAAGGTCTGAAGGAGACTTATTTATAAATGGTGCTCAACCAGGGTTAATGACTGAGAATGTTGGGTGCAACATGTTTCACCCTAGTGAATACTATCCAACGTGGACAGTGGAACCTCCTACAGATGATCTAAAGCATGTTCTTCATCACTGCACTGGATGGCAATCTGTTGTGAGGCCAGCAGATCAAACAGTTTGCACAGAATAGAAGCTTAGTTGTGTAAATCCATTGTTAACTGAAATTGTATTCCTAAGCTGTTTTATAAAATATACAGGGTTAACTCAAGTTATTATTGATTTCCTGCCCCCCTAAGTTTATTCTAGGAAGTTACTTTCGTGTATATAAACTATAAATTAATTATAGATTGTTAAATAAGTACTACATGTTTGTTAAATTATTATGATAAGATAAAAATATATTACAATTCACCTCCTCAAGTTTCTCTGTATGCACTAAGAAAAAAAAACGTTTCATTATATTACAGTACACCGTAAATTTATTTTGAAATTACTCTACCCCAATTAATCCTTTCACCATTAACGTTATACGGATTTATCAAGATAACTTGTTGTCAATAGAGATGACAAGTTGACAACACAAGTATAATCAGCGGAATTAACTCGCATAATCCATTGTTTTGGTGAAAATGGGTTAGGATTTAACACCCGCTAACTCATTTAATGTACCTTGCTTAACCCACAATTCAAAACGGAGTCAAGCAAGATGAACTCAATGCTTCTTTAAAGATAATATTTTAACTGAAAAATGATAACTAATGTATAGACTTGTGAAACTTTAATTTGATTATCCTTAGTTGGTTAATTTAAGCTCCGATCCACCATTATGGACACGAGCTTTGCATGAACGTTTGTAATAATATATCGATGAAACCTAAGAAGCCCACATGCATTTTTGCTTTAATTTGTTTCAATGATAATACTTTGAATTCGTTAATAATATTAATTTTTATCAATTTTAATTTACTAAAATAATCTTATTTTACTTTGTTATTCATTAATTGCATCCATTAACTACAAATTTATTCAAACTCATTTACTATCAATTCACTAGTGGAAAAGAGACTTTTTACATCGGTTAAAAGAGACTTTTTACATCAGTTCGTATCTGATATAGATATAGGCGATGTAGAAAGTTCATGACTTTTTACATCAGTTCACTACGCCAGAAATGAGCTTTTGAAGCGCTAACTTAGATAACAGTTAATAAAAACTGCTTTGTAATTAACCTAAAGTCACACATTAAATAGCGGTTAATAAAGAACTTCTCTAATGTTATTAAAGTCTTTTATAAATGAACACGCTCAACGCATTTCTTCTTCATAGCTAATAAAGTTAGTCTCTTTCAATATAAGTTTCTTCTCTACTCTCTTATGTTTTCTTCATCTTCTTTGTTAATCTGCTTTCTTCGTCTTCTCTTGCTAACAAATTAGTTTTTTGTTCCATATGTAAGTACCTTTTCATTCCGTGTTAGTATGCTCTTTTCATCTTCTTTACGCTAACAAATTAGTTTTTTTTTTTACATCTGTATGTATTTCTCTATTCTCTCTTTCTTTCTTCTTCTCTTTGTTAACTGTGAATCATTCATTTTCTCTTTCTTTCTTTTTTTCTCTCTATTAATATTAAAAATTATCCTATTAATTTGTTCTCTTTTTTCTTTACTTACTTGTGTTTCGTTCATGCAGATGTGGACTGCTTGGTTAACATCAAATATATAAACTCAAGATTCAATTTTGAGTTGTGATAAAAATGAAGAAAACTCACAAAGAAATTAATTCTAAATTTTGATTTAAACGTAATAATAAATTTTTATTTTGCAATAGAAAACTCACAAAGAAATCAATTTCAAATTTTACGGTTTAAATTTATACTTTGAAGAGCGGTTCTACGCAGAACCACTCTCAAATGTTACACCTATACTTTGGAGAGCGGTTCTGCCTAGAACAGCTCTCTAATCTTAACATCTGATAGCAGTCTTTAACCGCTCTCTTAAATATAATACATCAGATAGCGCAAGATTTGAGAGCAATTTTAAACGCTCTCTAATTCAAAATGGAACCCTCTCATATCTCCATTTTGGCGTAGTGGTTGTTAAAAATGATGTAAAAAGTGTCACATATCGTTCGTTTATAATAATCGATGTAAAAAAATATTCTTAATGTTCATCTTCGTCTGAGAGTTTTAACGTTAGCGTCAATATTATCAATATATTTTCTTAAGTTAAATTAAAATTCATAAACGTCAGTGTTTATGGTGTTCATCGTGTTCTTCATGTTCATTGTATTTTTCAAGTTTATCATGTTCTTCAAGCTTTTCATGTTCGTTGTGTTGATTGTGTTCATTATGTTTGTTGTGTTCGTAGTGTTTATTGTGTTTATCGTGTTTCATTATTGTTCATCTTTGTTTAAATCTGAAACATAAAGAAGATGCAATGTTCATCAAATCATTTAATAAGGAAGAAGAAACAACAACAAAAAATGAAAAAAATTAAAATAATTGATGTGTCTGAAAACCTTTACATGTTCATTGTCCACCTAGTTAATAGAACACAAATTTCAGAAACTTAAGAAAAATCTATGTTCGAGTCTCTAATTTATGCTATTTTGCTAGCACATATCTGAAAATTTAAAATTTGAATTGATTCTACGTTAGTTCCCAGAAACAACTGATGTAGAATGTACATTTTACATCGGTTTTACATTTTACATCGGTTGTAAAAATAACTGATGTAGAAAAGTTTGCATAAAATTAAAAAATTTCACTGCATTTGTTTTTACATCAGTTATTTTTACAACCAATGTAGAAAGTACTTTTCACATCGGTTTTGATGTAGAAAAATTTGTAAAAATTTCAAAAATGTTACTGTATCTTTTTTTACATTGTTTCACAAAAAATTAATGTAAAATCTTATTGTAAAAAGTGTTTTTTTGTACTAGTGCTTCAATGAGTCTAAGAGACATGAGTCCAATATAGTTTAGTGATTAAGCTACGACAAGTGGTGCACTCAAGATCGAAAACACTCCAATGCTTTTGGTGACGTTTGTACCTCTTAGAGTAGCAGTGAGAGAATAGATTGCATGCATTATACAATGATGTCAATGGTTATATAGAGTGTAGATGTAAGTGATGCATAGTCAAGACATTGTCACGGACGATGCAATTTAATCTAGCTTAATTTGAATGGTTCTAAACAAATTGGGTGGGTAGCATAACTCTTTTTAACTGTAATCTTTTGAATTTGGTGTGCAGTTGGTTGTGTCTAAGTGGGTCGAACCAATCATATAACCCAATTAAAATGATGCACAACTAGCGATAAAAGAGGGTTGATTATGAATTTTGAGCATTAATTCTTTAGTTAACTCAGAATACAAACAAACATTAGACAAAAAAAAAAAAAAAAAGATAATACAAACAAACACAAATATTTGAATTTTTTTTTAGTTTAATTCACTATATTTGAATTCAACTTGAATGGCGCTATAACGAGTAAAAAAAAAACCAATAAACTGAATTAAAAGTATATATATTATTGTATAAAAAGATTTAAAAAAATAATAATAATTGGTGATATTATAGTTGACATGTTTGAATTATGTCTTTTATGAAGAAAGAAATATTTGCCATGAGAAGTTAGCTAAATTGGGTGAAGTATGAAGTTTTAGGACAATTTAGTGGAAAATGATATGTAATTGTATCATAAATTCTTATTGAAATTGGTTGCCTTCCCTAAATTTGCAGGAAACAAACCTTCCTCTATATATTGTTAAAGTAACAAGATCAACTACTGGAATTAATATGCAAGCTGTAGATACAAACTGCTAAAAATTAGAGAAAAAAATCACTGATAAAAAATATAAAAAAGATAAAGGATGAACTCATTAATAAGCTAAACTATAGAAAATAATTAAAATGATAAATTAATTGAAAATAATAATAACAGAAGTATAGGATATAAAGTAATTTTATATTATATGGATTCTTCTTTTTTTAGTTAAAAATTTTTATTAATGTTGTCTCTTTCTCTTTATTCTCTTTTCTTTCTTAGATTCCATAAGTATTTTGACTCTATGATTGAGATGTTCACTTTTTTGTTGTTTAAACTTTTAGTCTCTTTGAATAACAAATGATAATAATAATAATAATAATTTGATCCATGTATATTAAAAATGAATACTACATGAAAGCAATCTTTTATGTGTTAAATCAAAGTTATTAGATATAACTAACTAATCAATAATAATTAAAAATGATTTTAAATTTAAAATTTTAATTATTTTAAAGGTTAAATACTAAAAAGTATAGATATTGAAACCTTATTTATTATATATTTTTTTGAATTATCAAAATGATAAGCGTGGCAAAAAACTTGAATCTTCTTCTATATAACACGAAAAGATATAAGATTAGTATTAGATGGGAGAAGTGTCAACTCTTTTAATTCCGACCTTAAATTTCACATGCTGACACGTACGAGCGTGGTCATTTCTTCCCTCACGACCAGAAAGTTGACCACTTCCCTCACGACCAGAAAGTTGACCACGAGGATGACCATAATAATAATAATTTATTGTGATTATTATTTTGAGAGAACTGATTAAAATGCAAAAAGTGTTAAAAATAAAACATTTAATTAATATCAACAATACATCTTTATATTAATTTTCAACAAATATTTTTATTTGTGATCTTGTGGGGGGTGACAGATTCCCATTACTTGTTCATAATATTATTATATAGTAGATTTTTACCCTTTCACTGCATTCTGCATGCACCTAGTCATCGTATTAATTTGATGTTATCGCTAATTAACCATGGACCACATTCAAGAACTACCCCCAACTCCTTTTAAAGAAATTTGAATGTCAAACTTCAAATCGATAGTCTTTGGGAATCGCAAATATGATTATAAATATGCGTGCATGGAATAATATTCTTCACATAGGCGTGTTAGAATTAATTTAAGTGACTGATTCAGATGAGTAGATAAGTCTTAAAAGTAAAAACAGTGACATTAAGATGAAGTAGAGTCTAAATAAAGGCAAAAACCCATTTTTGTATAGCATTTAAAGCTCCTATAATCTAGCTTTCTCTTTCTGAACATAAATTGTTAGTACTAATTTCAGGAATCTTCTTTGTTCTTCAAAAAAAACAAAGAACCTTCTTTATACTTGCAGTTGTCGTTCGAATTCCCATTTTGGGGCGGAAAAGAAGTCACAAATCTCATTGTGTTTCCAAAATTGGAATTCTCAACTTTGAAATTTACAGCATTCCTTTTCCCACTGCTCATTGCTTCCAGATCTCCCCTTCGAACTGGACATTTCTCCCTTAATTTATAGAAGAATGGCAACCATAATAATAATTTACGATATTTTTACTGAGCTTTCAAAAGTCTTTTTCTAAAACACTGTCAATTCTAACAAGGAAAAGAGAGTATCTGATTGCGTTATTTTGATCCTTTTTATCTTCATATGATAAAATACGCAAGGACTATTATATCTTTCACCATGGAGCATGAATGATTACGAGGTAGACACACTTTTTGTCCGTACAGTTTTTAAAAGTGTGTTTAGTAACTTTTTTAATTAGTTAAAAAATTATTTTATTAGTCAGAATGTTTACTTAAGTAAAATAATTCAGCTTGATAAAATAGCCCTTTTTAATAGTTTATAACCTTTTTCAAAACACTATTTTAATTAGCATTTTTTATTACCGATTTGAAAGCATTAGTTTAATTCTTCTTTTTTTTCATTATCTCTTGCTTATCCATTTATTTTTATAATCATTAAAACAGTAACATAAATTTATTTATATTATCTTATTTAATTTAGTAAAAATATTTATAAATGAGAAAAATTTTTAAAATTTGTTATTCTATATAATGATTTAAAATGTTATATAAAAAATAAAATTATTTAAAATATATAGTTAATAAATTTAAAACATTTATCTAATAGTAAAATATATGTGTTAAGTAAAAGAAATTGATTTGAGTGACAAGTAACTCAATATTACTTAAATAAAACTTTAATTTTGAGTAATTGTGTACGTAAAAAACTTTAAGTTATAAACTTAATTTTTAAGCTTAGCTTAATCATGCATGCATGAGCTACTTTTTTTTAATAGGCCTACCAAATTTGGTTCAAAACTGAGCGGGCATGACCAAATATGAATTATGTATTGCAGGCTTTGGGGCTTGCTTACTGAGGCAGCAGTGGAATCTCTCAACAGTTTCTAGTGTGAAGTGCTGAGAATATAGCGTGGTCCAGCGCCTGTGGTACACGCCAGGGAGATTAAATACAAGTTGAATCAATTTGGATCCAAACCAAAGAAGAAAGGAACATTATTATATTTAATTTTTGTATAAAGATTCATTTGAGTATAAAAGTTATATGTTTATTTTCTTTTTCTCTAAAAGTAACATTATTATATTTACAATTAAAAGGAGAGATTATTGAAATCTTTGTTAGAAGACATGTTTAAATAGTTTTCAAGTCTCACTATTTGTTAAGTTTCTTGTTTATGCTTGATATCACTTGCATGCTTATTTGTTAACTACTATACTCATTGGATGCATAAACATTTTGGCATGCAACTTAAATGGCTTTTCCCCTGCAAAGTGACTCTAAGGTAAAAGTTTAGATTTCCTTTATAGTTTATACTAAACCATATGATCAATCTTTCTCTCAAGTTGTACTTATTAATAAAAGAAAAAAGAGGGACTGTTTGTTTTTCTTTTCTTTTGTATCATGCAGCAAATAAAGGATGAAACTGATAAATTACAAATAATTGAGACAGTTACCTAAAGGACAATGCATAGAGTAGCAATAAATTGTAAAGCTTCAGGCAATGGTTCATTTTGGGGGTGATAACAGTGCCGCGAGGGCACTGCTTCAGTCAGAGACATCTTGGATTAAATCGAATTAGAAAAAAAAAATAAAAAATATATATATATATATATATATATTATTCATCATTTAATACATTTATTAGTTATTTTAACAAGTTTTAGCTATAGGTTATCGATTAATAGTTTCCATCCTTAAATTTTAAGTTAATGTATCATCTTTTACCTAATTTATTTCTTAGTTTCGTTAAACAATCTTTTCGTCTGTGTTTTTATTTTTCAGGAAAGAATCACACAATATGTATCATATGTAAACGTAATAATATTATGTAAAAAATATAAGATAAGAGCATCAAAATCTAATTCTTGGATCCTTGTTATGAATTATCTTTACTTTAGCATTATTATCCTATTTTTTCCTTACAAAAAAAGAATTGTTTCCTCCAGTACCAGAGTTTGCTCTTTCCAAAAAGAGATTTAACAGGTAATTCTCAACATCTTTGGGGGTAAATGTGACATATTCTCTCATTTCCCTCACCGATCCCACTACAATGCGGTGCGTTTCATACACCTCGCGATAAATCGGGGTTATTTTTCTCGCGATAGACGCCTTTATTTCTTCTCGAAACTCATCTTCCGGCACGATGCATGTGTTTTGTTTCCGATAAGCACTTTCAAATTCAAAACTGAAGTTCCCGAACACCACTCTCGCTTCCGCCGGCGACGTAACCGCCGCTGGATTCTCCGGCAAGGTCGAAAGAACATTGTCCCACGCTACTCTCTTGTAGTTCGCTATTAACCGCTTCACCTTAGCTTCGTGCTTCAACACCCAATCGTCGCCGAGTACGTAATGCAAGTTCGACCTGCGTACCTTGGCCACCACGTGCCGGAGATTGTTTGCGAGAAACAGATAAGAAAACGATACGTCCCTGCAATGCCTCGATTTACTATCAATCTTGCAAAGGAGGACCAGAATCAGCCACTCCATCCGCACCGAGAACGCCGTCGCCGTCGGGTCGTTGGATTCTGGACTGTACAAGTAAGGTTCCGGCAGCGGCGTGTTCGGCGGCGGAGGCACGTCCAAGAAAATCTCAGAGAGCACGTTGCTGTAATCCGCGAGAATCGATAGGTGATTCATCACTTGCGTCGTAAGAGAATGGACACCGCCGAAACTCGCAGGCGATTTGGAAGAGTCTTTCTGAATCACAGTCTCGAATTCCGAGATAATCGTTCGTACAGACTCAGCGAGTCGGAGAAGCAACGCGGAGGCTTGAGATTTCATAGCGGCGGTTGAGTCGAACGAGAAGATTGATTCAATCTCCGGCCATAACGCGGCGATTGCTGCGTACATATCAATCAAGCGGAAGATCTTCTCCGGCGGTGATTTCTTCGTTTTGTCGACGAGTTCGGGGAATCCGAAAAGGATAGTAGCTCCGTTTCTGGAAATCTCGGAGAAGCAAGCTTCTCTGATGGAATGTGAAGCACCGAAGACGTGATCGCAGAGGATCCTCTCTCCAGCGAAGAGCGTCCTAACAGAAATCTTAACCGCCTCTAACCAACTCTTGATTTTCAGCTCAAGAACTTCCCAGTCCATTTTGTTCACCTTGGAGGAGCTCAACTCCTCCACGTTGAGACGATAAATGCCTTCGTCGATGATCGATTTTCTCATGGTGGTGTAAACGAGCACGCATTCTTTGGCGTAACCGTTGGCAACCATGCAGTCAGCGATGGATTTTAGATCCGCCATGGCCTCGGAAGAAACGCGTTCGACTTCGGAGAGGGAATCCCCTGCTTCGTGAACATCTTCTTCCGGGGTGGCGTCATCGTAACTGTTTGAACAGAAAGAAGTGCGAGAAGATCTGGTGGAGATAGATTCGGGGTCGAGGTGGGCCCGGTTAGTGGATAAAATCTGGTAGAACTCTTTCTGAAGCCTCTTCATTGCCATTTGCATAAGGTTTTGTGCGTGGATGAGTTTTCTTGAGGACGGGTTTTGTTCGAGCAAAGAGTGCATGGTTTTATGGAGGTGGTTAACGCAGTGGATGTAGTGCATGGCCTCTGTTTTATCGTAGTAGAAGAGAGAGGTGACTCTGGCGTACGCGGAGGTTTCGGGGTTCCATTTTAGAATAAGCGCTTCCGCTGCGTCGATGCTCTCGTCCGTGCTGGTGGAAGGTGTTGCGGTTGAACTTGAAACGGAGGGTGACGAAGTGTGGGGGGAAAAGGAAAACGACGGCGTTTTCGGCTCGAAGCGAAAGATTCTCATTTCAGCGTCTAGCTGTTTGTTTCTTGTTGGGGAAGACAAAAATGAAAAATGTTTTTCAAGGTGACGCTTGCGAGTGCACCTGAAGGGTTATATATAGGTGCAGTTGCGTGCGGTAAAAGACGCGGTTGCTTATTCGATTTGAGAAATTTGAAATGTGAGGACTTGACTTTTAAGACTCATAGGTTTCACAAGAGGGTGCCGTGAGCTCTCTTTGTGAACTCGCTTGTGTGTGTGGATGCGAAGTTTACACACGTGTTGAATAACTGATGAGGTTCTCTGACCTTAAATTTTGGGAAAGAATTTTCTTTTTTTTAAATTACAAAAGGATATTGCAGACAAATTGAATAACACAATCACGACGACACGATTGACCAAGGTCATGGATGAAATGAAATGGAATAAACGAAATAAAAAGATCATGTGCGAAATAAAACTTTTATTATATGGAGCCACAAAAAACCTTGCAATAGGGGATTAATTTATAAAAAAATCTTTTAAAGACTAAAATATATTTATGTAAAAACTAAAAAAGATAATATCAAATGGAAGAAATAAATATTAATTTTTTTTGTAGAGATGTTTTCTATTATATATCTATAGACATGCATGGTATAAAAATATTAAATATTGTAAATAACTTTAAAAAAATTAACATTCAATGGATCGTATTTTTAATAACTTTTTTCAAAATAATTTCTTTCTATATTTTATGTTTTATATATTTGTGTTCAACACAAAATAGATGACCCTTTTTGAAAACTTATATATATATATACACACACATATATAATATGAGATTTTTAATTGACTTTTATATAAATACGTTGCAATACAATAGATACTATTTCTTGAATAATAGTATACCCTCTAACATCATCCTTTAAGTAATCTTCCAAATATTTTATAAAAAAAAAATATTTTACCAATCATTATCTTAGAGACATTAATTAAAAAATATTAAATATTTCTAGTTACTTAAAAATATGTGTTAAATTACTTTATATGGATATAATGAACTTTCTTTTATATAATAAAACTATTTATTTAAAGGTTTAAAAAATAAATATATTTAATATCTTAAAAATATTAAATATTTAGTTTTACATAATAAATAAGATAACTAATAGAAAGGTATAATACTAATTTTAGACAGATTAAACTTGTCATGCACCAAATATAAATGATTTAGTTTTTAATTAACATTGAATTAATGAACCGAATACTTAATTAATTTATTGATTATCTAGCGGGATAGAGGTTTTTTTCATCATTGATATTTACTTGTGTTTATTCTTTACTTCATTTGGTCATTGCTTAGCCGATGATTTATTATAATGTGAAAATGAAATGACGTCAATAAGCTGTTTGATGGTGCATTTTCAAAACGGTGAAAAGGAAATTTGCTTATAATTTATTCAGTCGCATTTTTTATGGTGCGACCGTTGAATTTGTATATAGATCAGCACTTATCTAAGCATAAATTTATAATATACATATAACTGAAAGTCAAAATTAGTGTCAGTAAAGTTTAGTTTATCTTTAATAAATTATTTCTTTTTTATTTTTTAAAGGAGATTATGTTTTTTTATTTAATTATATTTTTTGTACTCCATATTTTAAGTTATTTATAATTTTAGTATTCTTCATTTTATTTATTTATGTTTAATTATTTAATTTTTTAAATCAAGTATATTATATTAAATATCATCTATGTAAGTAAAAAAAAATATTGTCTAGTAATTAATAAAAAATAAAAAGGTGTATATTAATATAAAAAGAAAATTATAAATATTTAAATAAAAACAATAAAAATATGTATAAAATATAATAAAAATTTATTATTTAATTATCTTATATACATATATGTATATTTTTGTTGATTTATACTAGCTAATTAATGATATCTTACATCTCTCTCACACACACATTGATTTAAAAAATTAAAAATTATACGTGAATAATTAAATTTATAATAATTAAGCAATAGTTTGCGTGATAAAAACATTGTAAATAATTTTTCAGAAAGTAATGTAGGAAGAAAAATTATCTTCGTTGAAATTCTGAGTTTGTGATGATAAATTTTAGAAAATGAAATAAACAAGATAAAGCGATATAAATGGAAATAAAAGCATAAACAACTGTTAACAATTGAAAACGAAATGGCACTTGGATTAGTTTGAATAATGACAACTGAACAATGCGGTTTGCATATATGTTTTATAGTTTCTTTTAAAATCGTATATATTCTAGCTATTAAAATAGCGAATATGTTGAAAGAATTGTTCTTAGTAAATGAAAAGACAAGGGTTTTAATCTTCAGCTAGTTATTTTTTTTATCTTCATGGCTTTGCTAGAAAACCACAATTTTAAATTTATCATCATATGTTGATTAAATTTCTAATAGTTACAACTTATTTAGTTATGAAAATCGTCATCCATAAAAAATAGAAAAAAGAGTCGTCCTTTTGGAGACCTCTAAGGCTCTAACATCGTCCGTGAAGAATCAAAGTGTCAAGTGTCAAGTGATGAATGATATCGAATTCATGTAACCATAGCTATACATATATTGAATATCGCTCATCACCATCTCAATTATATATACAGTAATGTCAGCACTAATAAATGAGGTAGGTATTGGCACGAAACCTTAATCCATTTTTATCAACGAGGTGTTCTTGCAATGCGGAAGGATTTTAGTTTTGGTGATATATAATTCAGGGAAAAGTAGAAAATATAATATGATTAACCATATAGGAAAAAGTATCTATCACAACTTCAAAATATCTATCAATCAAGTAATTAACGTTTGTTTTAATTTCGCTTCATCTCAAGTTTTGAATCAAAAGCTAGGAAACACGTATGTTTTGAAGAGAACAGAAAAAGATCCAGGAGATTAGTTTAATAGAGATCAATAGTTTTTGCAAATTTCAAAAGCAATAGGAGTGAAGGTCAGCAACGGAGGTATTACGCTCTTTGTATTATCAATGATGATGATAGGGACTTTCACCGTCCATGCATGCACTTAATAACGTAGACTTTGATGATCAATCATCGTAGCCCAACTCTTGAAACGTGAAACGTTCTGTTTTGAAATTCTTCTCGATCATTTTATAGGTGTTTTTCCTACTTCGTGAGTTCTCTTGAGGAACATGAAAACTTGTCAATGAAAGTAGTAAAAGATCGAAAGGTATGTTCTTTGCAGTACTAATAAAATCAACAAGGTACTTCGGGTTCATGCATCTTTTGTTGAGCCAACCTTGTTGAATAATGTATTGCAATTTTTCATTTTTAAATTGCAAATGTGTCGAATTTATTTGTTTCTCCGACACAATTTCCATATTTTCAAACCCCCTTTGCCCCAAAACTGGATTTCCTTTCATGTAATATAACTATTTGAAACTGATAATAACTTGATCATTGATGGGAAACATATTATTGTTAAAATAAAGTAAAAGCTTCGATTGAAAAAGAAAACCTTAATCTGGAAAAGAGAAGCATGAAGTCATCGATCATCAGTAATTTATGTTATTATGTTAATATTAAATTAGTTTCTATTAGTATAAATTTTATCCACAATATATATATATATATATATATATATATATAATTAATACACAAATATTAGTATAATACATTATTTTTTAGTAAATGTCTTCAAATTTTCTATCTATAATTTATTTTTTGTTATTCAAAAACGATATTTTCAAATTTTATAAATACTTAATAATTTTCTGTTTGTTAATAATATATATATTGCAATGAAGGATATATCCTAATCAATATGTCTTTTTTATTCCATATATGGTTTTTTTTTTTTATTGAATTTGAATTTTCTAAATTTATATATATTTTTATTCCAAGGTGTTGGAGAGAAATTCATACCACTAAAAGTACGGGTGGATAATAACCCGAGACCAACTTCGTACTACTTGTTTGACTATGGTTTTGTTAAAATAGTAATAGGTAAGAAATATGCAATATACTATTTGTTTTTATTATTATTTGAAAAATAAATGTGATATTTTTATAGTTTTAATATAATAAATGTTTTTTATTTTAGTTTTTACAATACAATATTCACATCAAATAATTTACTTTTATATATAATTTGTAAGTTCTAATTTTTAAATAAGAAAATTAGATAAGAACTATCTTCAATAAGAGAGTTTTAATTTTTAATTTTAAAAATCATATTTCTTAAATTTAATCTTTGTTAATATAATAAAATATTTTTTAAAATTTTATTTTAATTTAATAAGAATAAATGATAACTTAAATTGTCTAATGATCTATTTACTGTCTCAACTTGGAAAAGTCGATGCTTTGGCAGTGACCCGGAATTTGGTAAACACAATTTGAACTTACCCAAAGTTTTGGAATTGAAAAGAGCATTTATATTAAATATTCAGTAATCAAATTATAAAGAAAATATTATATCGAGAATGTTATAACATAAATTAGTTTTAACAACACTTATAATATTTTTCAAAATCGTTTACAAACTATATAATCTATTAGTATTGTCAATATTTTATCAAATGTAGTATTTGAATCACGCCCCTTACTCTTCTCTGAGTGTGTTTGGACAATTATTGAAATTATTTTTTTTTCATATTTAAATCATAAAATATATTAGGTTAAAAGTTTATTTTTATAAATTACGTTACAAATTTTATTAAAATAAACTTTATAAAATTATATGAATCATAAATTATTTTTGTAAAGTCAAATAAATTTTTGATAAACTTTTCTAAACGTCTCCTAAATCAAACATGCACATACTTACAGCACTTCTGAATTATAATTTACGCACTTTAAATTTTGGCTTAGAGTTCAGTTATATAATATGTTTAGCAAAATCATTTTCAAGTTGTGCTTGCTAATCATTTTCAAAAATGTTAATTTTCTATTAAATCAAGTCATAGTTTGCTAACTATAATCCAAACATCCTATTAGCCTTATGAAAAAATTGAGCCCTCAACTTTTGGTGGATAGTAACAGCCGACGATTTTCTTCTGCTTGAATCTTTAATGTCCACAAATTTGAGCAAAAGTTCTTATATTCTTTTATTAGTTTAAATAGGAATTTGGTTTTTATAATTTTTATTCATTTAAGTTTTAGTTTCTATCTTCGGGGAAACGTGTGTTCATTTGTACTTTATTCCTCACAGTATTCTGTTATTAAACCTTAACATTTTGTTTTCCATAAGTGATTAGTCGCTATAATGTTAATGTTGGTGTTAATGTTGGCTTATTAAGGTTTTTCTTTTTTTTTAGTGAGAGGCTTATTAAGTTATTCATTCTTAAGAAACTAAAACTTAAATAAATAAAATTGATACATAAATAAATAAAAAATTATAAAGACCAGAAGCCAAATAAATGATATTATTAAAATCAAAAGCTTATTTAAGCTTTCCTGTTTTCTCAAACCTTGCACGAGATCAAAATTTCATGAAGTAAATAAACTCAATCACACTATTTTCGGCTAAGTAGTTCTCATCGTCTTGTAAAATAATTCTGATACCTTTTTAACAGAAACACACCGTTTTAATTTTTTTAAGTTATACTACAAATATTCTTCTAGAGAAATAATGACTACTGGGGATAGTTAAACTGTGGTAAATAATATACACATTTTAACTTCATTTAATAATTTAAAATCAATTATATTAAAATTAATTTCATTTAAATACAAACTAATCGAGTTTAATATGATAAAATAGTAAAATGAACCAAGAGATGTTTAGCTCCAACATCGAGTATTACTTATATTCACGCAAATTTGACGAAATAAAGATGTGTGTGAATATTTAATTTTATTCGGTTATATCTAAATACATAAATAATAAAAATAAAATTACATAAAATTTTAATTTTAGATATATAAAAGGTTAGGATTTTAAATTTTAAATATGTAGATATTTAAGTTAATAAGAAAAATAATAATTAGTAAATAGATTTTAAGGAAAGGGGATAAGATGTTTAAAGAAAGTGTGAGAGGTGGCCATAAAAAAATAAGAAGGTTGAACTCTTTTTTAAAAAATAAAAAATAAATATTAACTAGGACATAAAGTTAGGAAGTTAGGCTATAAATAAAAATCTTAGGTTTTTAGAGGACTCACTTTACACTTTTATTTTTTACGAGAACACCTTGAGAGTATAGAAAGAAAAAGTGAGAGAATCTAAGAGAGAACTCGAGAAATGAAGAGAAAGAGGAGAGAGTTAAAAAAAATCAACTAAGAGCAAATCAAAACATATATAAGGTTAATCAAAAAGAACAAACCAAAAAAGTTAAAGGATAAAAATTGACGAAAACTCTTATTTGCCAAATTAAGTAAGATTTCTTATTCTACTATTTTTTATTGTTTTGTTCTTCATCTATTATGTATGTTTTACTCTCGTTTCTTCTTATTTATTTTTTGCTCATATTAAAAGCCTCAACTTTTGTTTCTAAACAAAATATCTCTTTTTTCTATTATATGTATGTTATTCTTTTTTTTCTTTTTCTTTGTTTATTCATATAAAATGTCTCAATTTTTTTTCTCAAAACAAAAATTCTCTCTTTTTACAAATTTATTTTTCTTAACTCTAAAACTATGTTTTTGTAAGTACAAATATTTTCACCTCAAAAATCCTTCTCTATTTACAAACTCTAATTATCCTTTTTTTTTTATAACCCGAGTTTGCAAAGAGGAAAGGTTTTTTGAGGTGAAAATATTTGTACTTACAAAAGTATAGTTTTAAGGTCAGAAAAAATTAGGTTTGTAAAAAGATATAATTTTTGTTTAAAGAAAAAAAGTTGAAACATTTAATATGAACAAATAAGAAAAAAGAAAAAACAAGAGCAAAATGCACATAATAGAAAAAAGAGATAGTTTGTTTAGAAACAAAAATTGAGACTTTTAATATGAACAAAAAATGAATAAGAAGAAACGAGTGCAAAATACACATAATAGATGAAGAACAAAACAAAAAAAATATAGTAGAAGAAGGAATCTTACTTAATCTAGCAAATAAGAGTTTTTGTTAGCTTTATCTTTCAACTCTTTTAGTTTATTTTCTTTAATTTACTTTGTACATATTTTAATTTGCTCTTAGTTGATTTCTTTTTAACTCTCTCCTCTTTCTCTTCATTTATCAAGCTCTTTTGAATTTTCTCTCATTTTCTCCCTATGCCCATAAAAAATAAAAAGGTGTAAAATGAGTCATCTAAAGACTTAAACTTCGTATTTATAGTCTAACCTCCTAACTTAGGTCCTATTTATTATTTATTTTAAAAAAACTCCACCTTCTTATTTGTTCGATAGCCACCTGTCCCACTTTCTTTGAACATTTCATCCTCCTCCCTTAAAATCTATACACTAATTATTTTTCTTTACTAACCTAAATATCTACATATTTAAAATTTAAAATCTTAACCTCTTATAGATCTAAAATTTAAAATTTTATCTAATTTTATTTTTATTATTTATTATTTAAAACTGAGTATTCACAACGTTGAAACTCAGGAAATCTAGAGACATCAAATGGTGTTATTAGAAACAGGTTAAGGATGGCAGTGACATGAGTTGAGGATGACTTTTGATAAAACAATATATCATATCATATCCCCCCACCCCACCAATCAGGAATTCAGGATTTCTGCGATAAGGCTACCATTTTTCCTAGAAAAATGCAATTGAAAACCATAAATTCTCAAAACAATTCTGCTTTTAACATAAAACTTGGAATCTCTGGATCCAGACTAGCTGTATACAGAGACAACAATGATACAAACTGGAAATTAACTGGTACCGAAAATTGGAATGCTGCCACATTGACATGCATCGAAACCTTAAAATTTCAATACAAGCTGCTGGTCTACAAATGAAACTTAAAAAACCAATTCTAGCCTAAACTTTAATTGCATACTTTCTCAGCGGGAAGTACAACTCCTTCTTCTTTTCCCGTTCTGTCTTCAATGATGCCTGTACCAACCAAGAGGACGATAAGACTATGCACAACACAACAAAAGGAAAACACCAAACCAGAGTCTGAGATCTAGCAAATCCAGCGACAAATTAATAAATAATTTTTTTTATTGAAAATTACATTGTTAATACATTAGTAACGTTAAGCGCATGTTTGATTAGGATTAATAAAGAAAACTTACTAAAAAATTAAGTCTAACTCTCTCAAAAAGCTAGCTTATAAAATAAGAATTGTCTAAGTCTTATAAGGAGTATTTTGCCTATATTCATGATTAATGTGAAACATCTTCTCACACACCCTCTTCATTGACATGAAGTTTACAGCATTAGCTATTTGTAACTAGTCTAACATTCAAACTGAATAGACTCTTATACCATAATAGAAAATTACGGCCTAACTCACTCCCAAGAATTAATTCATAGGATGAGGATTATTCAAATCTTAAAAGAGAGTTGATTGGATTGAACATCTATGGATGAAATAGGCTCTGAGATCATAATAGAAAACTAAGCATAACTTATTCTGAAAAATTAGCTCATTTTATGAAGATTGTACAAGTCTTACAAGCAGCATGCTGATTCTATTACGAACTAGAATTGGACGTTTTAACAACACTAATAACTTTTTGTTGCTCAAAGCTCACTATCAAACAAACACTAAACAATGGCAAACAAAACCAAACAAAAGAATCAAGTAAAAAGGAAAACCTGGTGTTTGGTTAGGCGTCTGCGAATGGCGCGGGTCTTCTTGGGACGAAGGTCAAGGGGCAAATACTTCTTATTCTTGTAAGCCTCTCTAAGCGCCGCTTTTTGCTTCTGGGAAATCACCGTCAACACTTGCGCAATCGAAAGCCTCACCACCTTGCTGTAAAAAAAGAAAAACACCGTTCACAAAATGAGATTACTGCATGATAACCACTGTAAACAGAAACGGAAGCTCGGAACAAGGTGGAAGTGATCAAGCACATTTTTGAGAGCTTGTTGGGGGCACCGCCGGTGACCTTGGCCACTCGGAGCAGAGCGAGCTCCGCCTTCAGGTCCTTAAGCTGGTTCAGCAACTCTGCCTTGGTTCTGTTCCTCAACTCGTGCACCTTTATCCTCGCTTCAATGACATTAAAATTTCAATTCAGATCATACGTAAAAAATGGATCCATTTTTTACTCGTTAATACAATTAATGTCTTTGTCTTACCCATTCTCTGGATCGACGCGCAGCTCTGCAACAACTCCCTAAACCCTAAAATCAGAAGCTCGAGGTTAACGACGATCCCTTATATATGTGAATTGGGTTTATTTTTGTTTTTCATATTGGGCCACCGTTGGGCCAGAAGTGTTTGTCTTATTTGGTTTATGGGCTCAAAGAGAGGATTATTGGGTTTTGTTTATAGGCCGATTACTGACCCAATTAATAACTAGATAGTGATTTTGACCCAAAAAAATAGTGATTTGACCAAATTGTTTTATATCTTGAAAGAACTAATGAAAAACTAAATAGAACATCCCAAATTTATAATATTGAGGGATTAAATAAATAATTTTTTTTAAGAATCAAAGTGTTTTCTGCACTTTTTTAGTTCTTTATTGATTATTTTTTATAAAAATATTTATAAAGGAATAAGAATTTAAAATATGTAGAGTTATAATAATTTAAAAATATATAATTACTAATCTTAATCAAACATGTGAGGGGACCATGTAGAAGACATTTTTGAAGTGATGACTATTTTGATAAAATTTTAAACACTTGATAATAACTGACCAACCTAACGAACTATAAACAATAATAAACAGGATTAGCATATTTAAGTATGTAAGAAGAAATTAGAATCACAGGCTGATTCACGTGAGGAACCAATCGAAAAAGTTGCATCCATGGCGGGGACGGAAGGCCTTCAATTTCACGTTTTCTGTTGAGTGTTTTTGCAATAAAATAAAAAAGAAAATCACCACTGCATTGGCAATTGGATTCGTCAGAAAAGGATTAAAAAAGGCGATTTGGGAGTGAAAACGCGGTTTTGTTTGGGGGGTTTGAATTTAACAAGAGGATGAAACAGCTACACAAGCAAACGAGTCTGAACCACAGAAGGGAGGAAGAGATGGGGAGTAGCGAGACCCCACCGTATTCCCCCAAATCCATAAAGCACACCAGATCCCTCCCCAGATCCATCAGCTACCTCTTGCGAGAGCAGCGTCTTCTATTCATTCTCGTCGGAATTCTCATCGGCTCTACCTTCTTTATAATTCAGCCCACTCTCTCCCGCATAGGCCCACCCGAGGCCCATTCCTTCGTCCCCAGATCCACTGGGCTCACCCGCTTCGAGGCTGGGTCTGGCCCGGCCCGAGTAGGCCGCGTCCCCGTCGGCATCGCGAGCAGGCGGTTGAGGATCGTCGTCACCGGTGGGGCAGGGTTCGTAGGGAGCCACCTGGTCGACAAGTTGATCGCGCGAGGGAACGATGTTATCGTGATCGATAATTTCTTCACTGGGAGAAAGGACAACCTGGTGCACCTGTTTGGGAACCCTAGGTTCGAGCTTATTCGCCACGATGTGGTGGAGCCGATTCTGTTGGAGGTGGATCAGATCTATCACCTTGCTTGTCCTGCATCGCCGGTGCACTACAAGTACAACCCTGTCAAGACTATCATATCCTTTTTATGTTTCCAATGCTTGATTCGCGTTAACAGTGTTGTTTTCAATTTCATTTGTTTATTTTTTCGTTTTGTTTTTTTGGATCCTTAACTGTGTGGGTGATTGATTTACAAGACGAATGTGATGGGTACTCTTAATATGTTGGGACTTGCAAAGCGAATTGGGGCTAGGTTTCTGCTTACTAGTACTAGTGAGGTTTATGGTGATCCGCTGGAGCATCCCCAGAAAGAGACCTACTGGGGGAATGTTAATCCAATTGGTGAGCGAATAAACCAATTTGTTACCCCTAGTTGTTTCATTTTGTTGTTCGGTTGGTTGAACTGAAATTCTGGTTGTGAATTTTAGGTGAGAGGAGCTGTTATGATGAAGGGAAGCGGACTGCAGAAACCCTCACCATGGATTATCATCGAGGTGCAGGCGTTGAGGTACGTTAGATTGCATATTTTTTTCAGTTGATCAGAGTTGGTTTAGGTTATTTGCTTTGATGTCTTCTATGTTGTATGATGAAGAAGTTAGTGTAATGTTACCCTGTACCGTTTTGATACTTGGATGGTTGCGTGTCATGCTCTGTGTCGTATCTGTTGTTTTAATTTGACAACATGCATTATTGTGAAGCATTATCATTTTCGTGCTATTCATTCTCCCAGGACATTAAAGCATTTAGTTTTTGAGCTTGCCAACTTGGTCTGCCTGTAATGGCAGCTGATAAACTACTTAACAGTTCAAATGATCTAAAATGCAAATGATGCTCGTAGTAGTCAATCATAAGAGGTTAAATCAGTATAAACGAGATTAACAGTGAACAGCGGAGAGTTTCAGAAAAAGGGATACAATTCAGAGGGAAAGAGAGTGAGAGACAGAGCTAGAGGTATAGATTTCTACATAATTCTTCACACCTTTCTCTCGGCACATTTTTTGCCTTTTTTCCTTATTTGATTGCTTCATTTGATGCTTATTCAGCCATCGTGCCACAAACCTTTCTGTTATAACTAATTGTCCCAGTTTAGCATTTAGGTACACAACACTTCCCTTGTGATTAACTATGCATTTTAAGCTTACTCTGAAGTATTTATTGTAGTCAGCGAGTGTGTATCATGTGCACATGTGTAAGTGGCTGAGTACTGAAGATTGCATGGGGGAGATTGGACTATGAGATTGTATGCAAAAAAATCCTCTTCCAAACTCATTCATTATGATGTCTTTTAGTGTGTTTGGCTAGTCTTTTAAGTCAAGTTATAACTTAATTGGCTAGCCAATAAGCTTGTTTGACCAAATGGAATTATTTGATAAATGAGCTCATTTCATTAGCTTATAGCATTTTTTAAATGTTACTTGAATGCAGTGTTTGATTTTATAACTTATTATTTTCTTTTTATTTTTTATCCACAATATTTTAACAAAATCCTCAATTTTCCTTTAATATTACACATTTTATTTTATGTTTAATAACATATTTGATCTGTAATAAAAAAAATTAGAGTTCAAATTTAAATATAAAACTTAAATCTACTTGCATAAATGATAAAAAGTATTTTTTTCCCTATAAAGTAAAATCAAATTTTATACAAAAAGCCATATAAGCATGTCCTTTTATGTTATTTTACATTTGTCAACTAGTTTAATAGTTAATTTTTCAAACACTTCTCCTTTGATAAACTAATAATTCTTAGCTATAATTCGCTTTTCAACTTGCTATTAACTTTTCAGTTATTTTTCTCTAACATATCCTTAACCTAATTTGTGGATAACTATTAAGAAAAATAAAAGATTGTGGACAGTCAACCAAATTGTTTTGATAAATAATTAATTAACCTTCCTATAATAAATGTGTAAATTGATTGTTTTTGTTTGACTACTTAATTGGGAAGATCAGACATTTAAATACTGGTTTGGTTTCTAAAATTGAGCCATGAAAGAGGAAAATAAGTTTTTCCTATGGGAAATGAGTTGGTTATTTATAATTCACTTTGCTGATCTTAGTTTCTAATTAAGTGAAAATGAGAGTTTGGTTTTTACTACTCCATTATTCAACAGAAAAACCTTTTTGTTCTGAGTCGAGAGTGAAATTAGTTCTTGGTTTTAATTTGTTGTTGTTCCCCCTCCCTATTCATTTTTAAACTTATTGAAAAGTGCAATTTATTTTGAGGTTGCAGTGGTGGATCCTAAAGATTCCTTTAAACTAGAGTTGGAATTTTAAATTTCAGACCATAAATCACTAGCATTTAGCCAACCTTTCATTTTTTATGTTTTATAATAAAAACATCATACATATGAATTTATTGTTATAGCATGCTTTGGAATATATTAATTTTGGGGAAAATTTACTTTTCTTTTTGAAAACCTCTTTTGGAACCTGGCAGGAAAAAAAATTATTTTTTTAAAATAAGTTGATCCAAACTTTCATTGAAGCATGTGACATTTTTAATTTTATAGATATCTTTCCAGGCATAGATATATTAACAAGTGAAGGTTAAGCAGTAGACTCAGATAAATTCCTTCTTATTTCTCATGTTGTGTGTATCATAAAAATCCTTTTCTTTTTTAGTCTATTGGTTTAAGATATTGTACTTGTTGGATTTGAAAGGATTTTAAGTTCAATACGTGGTTAAATGCATGACAACTGCATTATGCAGGAAAAAAGTCAATATAGTCCGACATAAGGTGCGTTTGGTTCAACATATTTTGAGGAAATGATAACTTTTTTTCTAGCTTTATAATACAACAATATGATTATTTCCCAAAAATAGCTGTTATGAAAGATGGGGTTACACTACTTACGGTAAATTGTGCAAATTACATGTTTTTGAGACTGATCTGGTCTGATGATTTATAGGTTCGTATTGCACGAATTTTCAACACATATGGACCCCGCATGTGTTTAGATGATGGGCGTGTTGTCAGCAATTTTGTTGCACAGGTTTGACTCCTTTTCCTTGTTTCTTTTTTAATTATTGTGGGAGAGGTTTTTGAATTCTTACACTTTTTCCCCATGTTTGCAGGCTATCCGTAAACAGCCATTGACTGTATATGGCGATGGGAAGCAAACTAGAAGTTTCCAATATGTCTCTGATTTGGTATGTAGCATAGATAGATAGATAAATATAGATATTTTGAAACTAAAAATCTCACTGAATCCTTTCTCTTATACTAACCAATTTCTAATTGAAAACTGTAGCTTAAAAAAAATAGCTCCATTGTTTTCTTAAACACTCAACCAGCTTGTGCAACTAGATATTCATATAAGAATTTTTTTCAAGTGAAATCTTAATAACATTCAAATGAAAATGGGCTTTAAGACGGTAACTGAGGGAATACATAAAGCAACGAGAAACAGTTGCTTTGGAAGTTGAATGAAATACTTGATCATTATTTGGAATTCAACTAACCTATTGTATGAAAGTAGTTTTCTTTTATGGACTTGGGATGAAAAAAATTTTTTTGGATAAGATCAAATATAGAATGATTGATTTGTTATCTCTACATTTTGATAAGAACCTGTCAGCATTGTAATAATGCAATGGTGAACTAAATCTCATTTTCAATGCATAGGTTAACGGGCTAGTGGCTTTGATGGAGGGTGAGCATGTGGGACCTTTCAATCTGGGTAACCCAGGGGAGTTTACCATGTTAGAGCTTGCCCAGGTATCTTGTCATCTTTACTAGTCTTACTTTCATTTCTTCCATGTTTTGGTTTACAGTAATGCCGTTTCCCATAAGGTTCCTGTCAGATTATGCTGTGGCATAATAATTTATTCATTCCTTAAACAGTAGCCTAACGTAGTAGCATAAAAGTTGTGCCTTCTACAGTTAGGGCACACTTTTAGTGAGTCAACTGATTTCAAAGTTTCTGTTTTATGGACATCTTGTCACTGTCATCTTTTCTTAAACACACAGGTTGTCAAAGAAACAATTGATTCAAGTGCTACAATAGAATACAGACCAAATACTGCTGATGATCCACATATGAGGAAGCCAGATATTAGCAAAGCAAAGGAACTACTGAACTGGGAGCCAAAAGTTTCACTGAGAGAAGGATTGCCTCTTATGGTTAGTGACTTCCGGAATCGGATTTTGAATGAAGATGAAGGAAAAGGGATGAAATAAGCTTAGTAGCAAACCCTGTACGTATGTGGAGATGAGTGCATCTCCCCTTCATTTTTTCCTCATCTACGGTTAACATCCTCAGAAAATTCTGATAATATGTCACTTTTGTAAGGTGTCTGCTGGCCTTCTACATTTAGTCATTTATGCTTGCTTTTAGCACACAATTGATGTATTTGTTAAATTTTGAAAAAGAAATCTTTCCAGCAGTTTTCTTTTCTATTGTATTGATAAAAGTGGTAGTATTTGATATTTGGATTCTGGTATAATGAGAATGGAATTTTTCTTTCTGTAGAAAGTCGTGAATCTTAAATATTTTAGTTTTTTATTTCAATATTTAAAAATTGACATTATATATAATTATTTTTATCTTTTTTTTTTTTGTATACATGCTTCTCAAAAATATAATACAAAACCAAAGATACCAAAAGATGTCCCCACTTTAAATGTAAAAAAAAAAAAATTTCCTAAATATTTATGCGATTAAAACTGCTTTGCTTTTAGGGGAAGGGAACTTGGAAGGTGACACTTGCTACCTACCTATTTCTTTTTGTCAATGACTGGCTGACCAGTTTAGCAACCCATTATTCCCATCAAATGGGTTGGGTCTGAACTTATTTGGTGAGTGCATCATTTCCAGTCCACATTTGGTTACTTTATCTCTACCCAATTGCCCGTGTGAACTTCCTATTATTTTTTGTCAGTCGTGATAAATAATTGCAGAACATGTGCTACAAAAATTCACTGTAATAGCAAAATAATATTAAAAAAAACTGAATAAAGAATTGGAATTCGGTAGGAAAATCAATAATATAATATTCTGTACATTAATTGTTAGTTCTTTAGTACACCGGTCGTACTGGATAGATTAGAAATGAATATGATGGCTTTATTTCATCGACCCAATATTTAAATGCGTTTATAATCACACCTTTTCTGGATTTTAGATCTCTTTTAATAAGTCATTAAATAGTTATAGGAATCACTTTAGCTGGTAAAAGTCACTACTCTTTCAAATTTTACTCTATACTTCAAACTATAAATCTGAGTTCCTTCTATTAAAAGAAATGGACCTTACTATACGATTGCTTAACTAGTTGCAAGAAGCTAGAAGTAAGACGGCAGGATTTCAAGGAATAGGAAATGGTTACATAACACTCTGCTATCCACGCTAATACAATTTGAAAAGAGGAAAGAAATGTGGTGCTTTCCACATTCCGTACTAATTGCTAATTGGGATCTGACCTTAGGCTTGGGCACTTCAGTTCTCTGGGACCATATTTAAAAAGGAAGACCAATCCCATCGGTCTTGAGGAACATCCTCCACATCGCTCTATCAATGCTTTTAGTTTTTGCTACAAGATATATACCACTACTACTATTGTGGCTATGCCAATTATCTGTCTGATTATTTGTGTGTCATCAAAGCCATAATGTTATTGTTACGTAATTCAATGTAAAGCTAATATCGAGCTGGAACTTAGTAGCAATTACAGGGCCTAACAAATTTCTACATTGGTGGAGTGAGATTATAAATGCTATTTTTCTACCCAAGATAATTTTTTGGGCAAAAGATGACAGATCTGAAATCTCTCAACAGGAATGCTAGGTTTCAGACTCATTATTTACCTACTAAAATAGAGGGTTTGCCTTTTGGGAGTGTTTGGTGCTTGATGATGTTCTTCAACATGCATAAGAAGGATAAGAGAAATGAACATTGAACAGCTGGCTTCAGCATAGTAGAGAGGGGGACCCCTCTGCCTCTGTTGCTTGATTAAAAGCTTATGGGACTGAAACTGAAGAGAAACTGGTAAAAAAAAGAAGGAGAAAGGGGAGAGAAAAAGAGTTATCAGTGGTGTAATAAATGGTGTAATTAATCAATGAATCGTTCAAAATGAGACTTTTAATTGGAAGATGGGTTAGGCGATAATGAAAGTTAGGATGAAGAAAGCCATGGAAGCATATGATTCTATGAATTTATGAAGAATACGATATATTTCTATCAATGCTTTTAGTTTTTGCTAAAAGATATATACCACCGTTCTCCAAATTTGATGCTTTTCTAGTTCTCCCCACAAAATCAAAGTTTCTCTAAAACAGTTTTTGAAAGAAATATATCGTATATTTAAATCAGAACCACACATTTTCATTTTGATTTTGAAGAAAGCCCCATTGCGAGTTTTGATGTTAATCATAAACCGTATTTGGACAGAATTGCAAAATTTACCAACTTTCCTTAATGATATTTTCTGATATAGTTGTTCACAAGAATCAATTAATTTTGGACTGTACTAAAAATTATTTGATATGGTACATTATGGGCCCTCGTACTATGACTCCAACAGATATACTCCACTTGTTTTTGTCAATAATTTCCTCTTAAACTATAAATTGTCAATTCTGTGAAGTTAGCACATGAAAGTGCTGAAAATTTCTAGCCGTTGCTCTGTTTTCATCTGACCAAATTTACTATGTTATAGAAAGGTGCTGTCTAGTGTAGCTTGGTAAGTATTTAAACTCGTAGGCCATGCCCAACTGAGCATTGCTCAATTCACAGTGCTATGGTTATTCGTGCCAACAATTTAATTTATTTTTCTCTCTACATGGAGATTATTATCGCTGAAACTTCACGTCAATCCAAAACGGTTCTGTACCCAGATGCATATGCGTGGCACAGGGCACAAAATGATTTACATTAAGAAATTACTATATGTTATGTGAGGGTAAAATCACTACAATTTAGGCACTCATAAAAACAATAAAAATATTACAAAGAAAGACATTAGTACATGTATTCGACAATGTAATCAATTGATAATATCATCTTACTCATAAAAATAGAGGAAAATTGGAATCCAAACTCCAAAGTTAACAGCTATATTTCTCTGAATATTTATCAATCACGTGTCCACATTCTTATAAAAACGATGAGGAGTATCAAATTCGATTTGAACTCCAGTAAAATTGTGGATAAAATTTTATAGGATAAACTGTAATAGCAATTGTTGATAAAAAAAAAAATTAATGGTTAAGATCTATGATAAAATACATGTCGATGGTTAATAAATTATGGAATTATTAAAATTTTAATTGTTAATATTTTAATAAACAATTAGGATTATGCTTTATTATCTAAAGTGTCTTTTTTTCACTTTAAAGAAATTAAATTCCACCTTATAACAACCACCACCCTTCTAGCTGGAAAAAAAAAGGTTCATTATTCACCTAAAAGGCTTTGGGGCGAGTGTGACAGTTTAATTCAGTGTACTAAGAATACATCATTTTCATTCTTTAAAGCAATAGAAATGTTGGTTGCATCTCATAAAGATCACCCTGTTTTGTTGTGTCTTAACACAAAAACAGTAGTTCCTCCACTCTGCATCTCCACCCTCTTTGTAGAATTCCAAAACATCAATAAGGATATAGCCATTGAAGACATTCTTCATTTCCATACAAACTTGTCAAAATTTGCATTGATTATTTTTTTTTATGGCTTTTGATTCTAATGCACGTGCAGCATTCCTATTGCCATGCTAAAACCATTGACAATTATATTACCCCCTTAATATGTAGATCTTATTTGGGTATGTTCTTTATGGTTGAGGTCCCCACGGGAAACCAAGTGTGTCATCACCTATGTGTTAGAATATTAGAGCATTGAATCAAAATGATATAACTTTTTCGTGTTACATTTAAATTTCCCCAAACTGATAGAGCGTTGAGAAAATTTAAACCTTTATATCTACTTCAATATTGAAACAAAGAAACTAATGCAAGTTTCCAATTTATTGCTAACCCTTTATCCTTCTGGATCCCATCTCCCACTCAAATAGTTTCTCCAATTTTAATCTAATGTCATCTAAAAAACAGCCAATTTAAGGTTTCTTTTGTTTGTTTTTAAAGGAGACTTCTAACACAAGAGATGCATAATATTTTTTTTTCATAGTTATCAATATTTTATTGAAGTGAGATAAATCACACATAAGGTTTGAATCCCTCCATATCAATTCTCACCACTTTGTAAAACTTAAAAGCTATCAGCGTGAAGTGCCAACCTTTTTTGTTTGTATCAATTCTCTCTTTATCTCTCGCTCCCTATTTGCTGCAGATTCTCTAAACCACTAATTCTCTGTTTACCATTATCAAAAAAGATGAAACGCATTGATATCTTCTGTGCTTCCCAAGCTTCAACAGCTATATGTCTTAGCATGGATCAAGCATCTTGCTCCTCTTCCAATACCATTCAACTTGGAGGCCGAACCATTGACCGCCACAACCCCATCATCAATGATTCAAGAAGAAGCACTTCCAAGTCTCTCACTGCCCCATGTTCTTCTTCTCAACCACCCATCAATCCCAAGCCTTATCATGACCTCCATAAGGCAAAAAAAAACTCTTCTTTGAAGCCAAATGACCAGGACAAGAAAAGTGCAATAAAGGGCCATGATCAAAAGAAGAAAAGTACAGCAGAAAAAGTCACTGAACATGTCACCAACACTTACTCTTCTAAGCCAATTGATATCACTTTGAGGAGGAGTTGGCACAAACCACCCACTGATTCAATCACTCCTTCTGGTTCAACTAGATCTTTGCTCAGTGACAAGGCCTTATTGGATGGTTCATCAGATTATGATCCAGTTTTGGCACTCACAACAGTTAATAACAAAACTTCTCAAGTTTTTCATCGAGATGAAACCAACCCTGCTCCTAAAAACTCTAGTAGCTCTTCCAATCCAAAATCCGGTTCCCCAGACCAGGTTAGTTTTCACTTTCTATCTCATGTCTCACCTGGTGCACATCCATGGCACTTGTTTAGGATTTTTCCAATCTGAATCATTTGCGTTTGTTTCCTGTTAGCAAGTCTTTTAATTTATGTATGGCTGATGAATAGTAATAAGCAAATTTGGAAGGTGATGTTTGTGGAATAACTAAGACAAGTCTATGCAGTAAATTATTAACTTCAATATTTCAATAATTGATTTCAGTTAATTTTTTCTATCAGGTTGTAGTACTGAGGGTTTCTTTGCATTGCAAAGGATGCGAAGGGAAGGTGAGGAAACACCTCTCCAGAATGCAAGGTAACTAACCAATTCTCATATATACATATATATATATATATGAGTGTGTATATAAAAAGCAAAACCTTTTTACATATAATTTTCAAAGTCATTTCCTTAATAAGGAATCTTTAAATTGATTGTGTGGGCAGGAGTTAGTTCATTCAACATAGATTTTGCGGCAAAGAAGGTGACAGTAATTGGGGATGTGACTCCATTGAGTGTCTTGGCAAGCATATCAAAGGTGAAAAATGCACAATTATGGCCAGCATCTGCCTCAGCAGTTGGATCTGGTATAGTTGAAACAAAGAAAAAAAGTTTATCTGATTAAGATGAAAGTAGAATGTTGGTGTTGATGTACGCTTGAGTGTGAATTGGATGGTAATTTGATTATTGTAAATGTAAATGTTGGCAAGAGTAGCTGTTCCTTCAAAAGCAGTACAAAGATGGTAGTGTTTTAGAGAAATTTTCACGAAATTTGCATATTTTTTTAAGGTGTAAACTTAACACTTCATAAATTGTGCTGGGAATTGCTTTAATTCATGTTTAATTTTGTAAATCCTTCAAAGAATCTAGTTTTAGTGTAATTTTTTAATAGTGAAAACTAAATGAAAGAAAATGAACCGGAGAATATTTACATTTTTCACCGTTTGGTTGGGAGAAAAATGCGCAGTTCATAAAAAAAAACAATCTCTCTTAAGTGAAGAGGAAACGAGAAAGGAAAAAATATTACTCATTTACTCCCATACTCACTATGACATTAGAAGAATATAAAAATCATTTGATACAGTGAACTTTTTTTAACCAAATAAAACAAAAAAAAAAAATATATATATATATATATATATATATATATATATATATAAGTTTTTATTTTCATGAAAATAAAAAAAAAATATTTTCCTTATTTTCTACGTATTTGTTTTTTCTCTCATCTTCTTAGTGTTTAAATGAAGTTACGTATAAAGAACAGGAAATCTACAAACGCATTATCTTTAAAAGAAGAAATGCATATATTTTCCATTTAAAAGTAATTATTTATTTTCATCATCCACTAATATGGTGCCATTTTATGTTTGAAAATATTACGAAAAATCCATTTATACAAATTATATCAAAGCTATGGATTATGGTGAATAGAGTTTTTGTTTTTCATGGCGACAGTATTTGACGCTAATGTCACCTATGACAAAATAGCACGATAATGCTGTTTATTTATGAATATAATTGTGACTGTAGCAATAGTCAATTATTTAGTACTTCTTTTCAACCATTCTCGTGCCCTGCAGATATGTTCTCTTTTTATGTTTTAACCTCAAGGAGAAGTGACACGATTTTTGCATAACCTGTAAGTAATATTTTAACTGTTTCATTATTTATAATATAGTATGTATAAAAATAATAAATAATTATACATAATACCATATATATATGTATCTATATATATATATATATATATATATATATATGTATCTATATATATATATATATATATATATGCATAATTTGAAAATATTATTTATTAAAATATAACATTTTGAAAAGAATTATAAAAAAATAAAAACTCAAAAATCGCCATACATAAAACTAGTTAATTTTAAAAAAATGCCATCAGCAATTTTTAAATTTCATATAATTAATTATTTTCTATAACGACGATTTTCGTAATTTTTTTTCCATTTATATGCATTTCCCCAAGGTTTTGGTGCAGATACACTGCCATGCCTGTGTTTCTCTTTTTTATTTTCTCTTCTCGAGGTAATGATCCTGCTTACTGGTCAAACATAGCCCATCTTTGATCTTGCTGACATCTATTCAGGTAGTTCGCTGAGCCAAATATTGTCATTTTCAATTCATAAAGTGGCATTGGTGCCATGATTAACTTTAGCACTTTCATCTTTACAATTTTTATTTTGTAACATTGCTGATAGAAATCAGGACATTAATACCATGCATATATCTGCTGGAGCTTTAAACAACTGAACCATATGCACTTCATCTAATAACAACTTCTTAGTTAAAGGGTGTTAAGAAAAGCTTTCATTTGAACCTATAAAAATAGGTCATCATGATTTATACAAGTTATAGTAACTTTATTTTAACAAGGTTTCAGTTGATTTTATTAAAATAAATTTCTTTTAATGTTCTCAAAATTAAGGACCGAAAAGGAGCGGTGCTGAGGCTGTGATTTCTGAAATCCAATGGAATGAAATGGCGACACGTGAGTCGTGACAAGTGAAGCCTTGAGAATGTAGTAGTAAGAGTTGCTCGATCGTGACTTACGAAGAGGTTGCACATGGGATCAAGTTTCGTGAATGAATAACGTTGTTCTTCTCGTTAGAAGACAAGGTTCATAACAACTCTTCAATCATAGAATCATGGGTCATATAAATAAAACTGTTGTATAGGATTTCACACTTTCTTTTTCATATAAGTTTTACATTGTTATAATTCGTATAAAGTAATTGTTTCAATATTTGAGCTTAATTTGATGTCATATTGATATTAAAAAAAAAATACACTATCATATGATAATAATAAAAGTAAAAAGTTGATTAGCCGTCTTCACGAGTGGAGGTTGACGAGTTTGGACCACCAGTTGCAGGGTTACACTCTGAGGCTTAACGGTAACAAAGTTCATAGCTTTTGTCCACAACCTATGTGCCTGTGTTGAGTCGCAATCGGTTTCTTTCATTGAATAAGCATATAGTTATATTTATCTGTGAAAAACAGAAACAAATCGTACTCAGCATCAGCATTGCTAAACCCTAGTCTAAAGGTGCTATACAAGGCAATATCCAACTCTCACTTTCAAACTTTTTATTATGTTTTTTTCTCTATAGTTTTGAAGTTTGTCCAAAGCTTTTTTCAACACTTTGGCATGGAGTAAACTTACCTGTTCGAAAATTCTTTAAATTCAATTCATTGAATACTTCAAGTATATTATTAAAGTTTAAAGTTAAATTTAGTTGTTTAAATAAATTAAATTCAAGATTTACAAATTTTATATTGATATGTTTAGATAAATCTTCATTAATTTTGTCCTTATATTCCTACTCCGTCCATGATTGTGTGGATCTTGAGTAAGTTGTGCATTTCAACTTATTTTTATGGCTATTTAAAGATGTTGTAAAAAGGAAGGAGGAGATAACGAGAACGGAAGTAAGGGAACAAATGATACTAAAAGTTTATAAATAAAAAAATAAGAATAATGGTAATTATTTTTTAAACTGCTACAAACTTATGTACGCATAAAAAGAGAGAGAGAGAGAGAGAGAGATAAATCATACTCATGAAATACGATTTATACTAGTTTCATAATTTTTTAAAAGCTACACTAGTTAGATGATACTAAATAAAAGAATACTCTAATTATGTGAAAAAAGCCTACACTGTCACCTCAAAACTCAATGTAATAATGTTTAAAATCTGTTGTCATCTATTAATATGCATTTCTAATTTATTTAACTAACCTTTTTGGTGGAAAATATCATGAAAAGTTAGACATGTTTATCATCTTGAAAGTTAGGAGCATCAAGATTCTCACTATAAAAACAATGTGTTCTCTTTTTTTCCCCTATAGTATGAGGTGTTGAATTTTTGTTATTGGGAGAATGAGAATCCCAACGTAAATCGTACGTAAAGTGTAATTTTATTGTATCTCGTCTTTCTGTTAGATGTTTGTCTCTAAACTTAATGTTTCCGTGAATTAGTTATTTATAATATTAGATCACTTTCTTGCATTTAAAAAGAATAATTTAGAATTGACATCAGGTTTAGGCAACATAGTTGATGATGCTCGGAAAACAGAAATTAATAATGATAACTTATGGATTCCTAATCTTAGTGCTTGTTCTAATTAAATATATTTCTATCAAATTAGGAGGAGTTAGTTTGTGTCAAGAAATTGAATCACAACTATTATTATGATTTAAATCTTCAATATTCCTTGAGAACTTGAATTCGAATGAAACTTGGATTGTTTAAGGTGAAGGTCCCGATGAATCATATCACCTCACTTTTGCATGGTGAAACGTCACATATTTTAGCCTTGCTTATATTTAGAATCTACTAGTGAATTTTGGTTTTGACTTGGTTTAGTTTACACAATTACAGTCAAGTTTCTCCTTTCAATGTTATGTTCAAACAGCAATAAATTTATGGTATTAATACTGAACACAATACTTAGGACAACAACAATCTTACTCAATCTATATTATTTACAAAATTCAATACTAATGCCTAGTTCATATCATGTATATATGCATTACCTGTATGGTCGTAATGTTATTTAGTATGTTTTCATAAAAAAAAATTATAATTTGTTTATTGTTATATAATATTTACCATTTACCTGATTTAAATTTTTAAGAGCCATATTTCAATGAGTTATCATAATTTAGTATTAAAGATTTTATTCCAGTTTGAAGTCAATTTAATAACAAAATATATTATTATTATTATTATTATTATTATTATTATTGTATTTCACCTTTTAACATAAAAGTAAACAAAGGCTTATTAAAAAATACATTCCATAAAAATAATTAAACAACTCAAAAAAATCCAGTTTAAATTTCATATTAATTAAAAAATTAAGTGAAGCTTTAAATTTAGTCATTTAAATTAATAAATCCAATTTAAATAAACTTTATATTCTATAAGACAAAAATGGATTTCAAGTAACATGAGTCATATACACCCCTTAAGCCTCAACGTCAATTTGTTACCATAGGAACGAGTTTCATTCCCTCTGAAAGGCTCGCAGTCAGTTTTTCTTTGTTCATGTTATGATCCTAAAAAAACATGTTAATAACTCTTTAATAAATATTTTTTAAAAATTGTTATGACAGTGAGAATTCTTTTCCTTTTAAGAAAATGTATCAGGACATGTCTTCTGCTGGGTCAATTGTCCACTCCTCGAACCTACCATCGGCAAAATTTGGCCTGCATTCTTGGTCTCTATCTAATCTAAAACCTAATATATATATGCGTGTCTGTGTAAAGTAAACTAACCAGTTAAGGTTTAAATAAATTATAAAATTACAACTAAATAATCATTAATTGAACAATTATTATTACGTCGATTGAAAAATAAAAGTTTCGACAACTAAATTTCTTCAATATGATCAACAAAAATCGATCAATAAAACTATAATCTATATGCAAGGCACGTCATTCCCTAGTTATGAGCTATATTAAAGGCCCAACTAGATTCTAATGCTCTGCGTATACCGCATAAAATCCTATTTTTATGATATTAATGATCACTTGGTTGAAATACTACCTGCATTAAAACGAAATTCAAATCCACCATAGGCAGCTTTATTCCATTCTCGTCAGCTTATTAACGTCATCATAATATAGTCACGCTTCTTTGAGAAAAAGATTATGATCCCTTTATTCATCTTGCGATGAAATTATCATTATCCTACTGGATTTACATTAAAGAACACATACGCTCTAGGGTACAAAATTTCTCGGTACCGACTATCACTGCCACTAAATCATCTAATATCAATCTCTCAACTTCACTGCCAATTACATCGATGTCATCTTTCAAGTCCAACCACTGAGGTCCCATAACCAGCAGCTTCCCCAAAGCGTCATCCTTTACTTTACATTGGCTCCCTAGCATCCTGTAAAGACAATCTCGGAGCCCATTTTTAATCAATTTAAATCCAGTAATGTTTATGGTTGTTGGACCCACCCATGGTTGTGCACAGGTCGATTGCTCATGGATCTCGACAATTCCTGAATTTATTCGATCAAAAAGCAATCTCCTTTCAGACCTTGAACAAATAGTCCAATCACAGTACCTCTTCTCAAGTTCATGAAACACCGAAAGACTCACAGGGCATTCTAGAGAATGCCAACTTGAATCCGGCTGAGCTCCATCAATGCCAGATTCAGACAAGACATCAATAATGTATGAAGACTCCCAGCTATCTTCAGTTTTAAGCAATCGATCGTCTTCTAGCATTCCAGCAGATGCTTCCCCACCATCTTCGTCACAAGATATTAACACGGGTCTATCTATACATTCTTCAGATTCCAACTTCAGCAATTGGAGTTGCATTCGCAGCCCTATCAACAACAAAAAGGTTCATTAAAACAAGGAACCGGTTAAAGGCACAAGCCTCGAAGACAACTTAGCTCAGGTGAAAGTTGATAAATCCTTAAAAAATCAGTTAAGCTCAATAAGTTAATTTGTGTAAGCTTTAGAACAAAAAAAAAAATGGTTTAAAGGATTAGCACCAAATTCATTTGTGTTGGTGATTCACCATGTCTATGGAAGATGTCAACTGGTCTCCACTTTCAACATTGTGTATCTCCAAATGGATGAAAAGATGTTATTGTCGAAGTATAAGAGCAAACTAGAAAGGAAATAAATATGGTTGCAGACATTGGATGTGCATTAAACACAACATTGACATTGCAGAATAATCAAAATAGATGCCTTGTGCAGATACCTTGTAGATCAGCACTGAGACTTTCAAAACATTCAGAACAAGACGACAGATCATCTGTAAAAGAAGGTTCTAGGACTGAGACAGGACTGGGTTGATCAGCATCTTTACTACACGAAGATTCATGTCCAGGTACAGGAGGTTCATAGAGGACAGAACCTCCACCAGAAGACACTGCTGCTATGTCCTGAAATGTTACAACATATCAAGTAAGGAAAAACATAATGAAACAGAAATTCAGTAATTACTGGGCAACAGAGAAACTCAGTCAGGAAATTTCATAGACATTTCATGCGATCAAATACTGACTTCCACACCAAATCATAGACATTTCATGCGATCCCATCATGTTTTTGGGCAACAGAGAAACTCAATCCGGAAATTTCATGTGTCAGTAAATGCAAGAAACAATCAGTAAATTTAGACTTGTCCAATTCAACAATCTTTATAACAAGTGAATTAATTGGCTAACGTGATATAAGATAAACATTATGAGCCAAATCATTGGTCTAATGTACCTGCAAGTTGATTGTTTAATATAATGAAGATGATCACAGCATTTGTGAGATTTGAATAAACTTATCAGCATACCAAATGAAAATGTTAGAAACTTAACCTGCTGCATCAAATTGTCAGAAAGCACCTTATGAGAAGGTTCAGAAGATCCAACTAAATTTTCATGTGCCCCATCTACAACGTCATCAATAACGGAACTTGCATCTCTTAGGGTCTCAGCATGAGGTTCACCAGCCAGATCCTCTAGCTTGGGTGAATCTTCAAGAGTGATCTTCACTTTATTCTGAATTGTATTCAAGCCCGAAGAGAACTCATTATCTTCTAGCTTTGATGAATGCAAAGACCTAGACTTCTTGTGACAAGATCTTGTACTTCTAGTATTCACACTATGCCTATGATCAAAATTCTTTGTTGCTCTTTTCCTCTCACGTTTATGGGCTTCCTTAGGCACCATAAATCGATAATCAGAAAGTGCTTCAGTGTGCGAGTATGTTTGAGGACTTCCAAAGGCAGTAGATGAAGTAGGAAGAGACTTTGACCTTGACAAACTTCCAATGCATCCGTCCTTCCAACCATCCCTGCTGCTGATACCCAATGGTTCAACAAATCCAGCGGGTTCCCCATTGGGTGAAAATTTATCATGGAACCCATGCCCACTGGCCATACTGTCAATATTTTCAGTCTTCATTTCCTTATCAGGGATGGCAAGCATTTCAGCCAGTGTGTTGCTCCTACTGATGCCTTCAACCTCTTGAGACTTGTGCGTCATTTTCCACCTCTCTGATAATCTCTTCTTTGCCTCTTTACTGACAGAAGATTCACTGGAATGGGATGGTCGCCTGCCTTGGTTATTTAAGTCAAACGAATTTCCCAAAGTTGCAGTTGTTTTCTCTGATTCCTCAGGAGATTCATCCCCAGAAACAGTACATGAACTGTCATACCCAGTATATCCTCTAAATCTAGAGGAGGAAAACATCACACAACCATTGTTCAGACTATTTCGCATTTGCCTAGTGATTTCCTTAGCAATTTCTCTAGATTCAAAAGAATCCAGCCTCAAACACCTGGCACTTTCAGGCAAATTTGTTGCTTTATACAGTTCAGTGTCTCTAAATCTAACATCTGAAAATTCAGGGTCATTTACATGCCCTGACAAAAAATTATGTGAAGAACAAGGAGATGATACGATACTGGTACCATTCTGCACTTTTCCAAGATTAGGTTTTAGTACAACGATCTTTGTGGGGACTGCATCTTGTTCATATCTACCCTTCAACTGAAGCTTTGACGATTTTGGTAAACTATGCATCACATGTCTTTTTTCAAAACGACAAGGATAACCATTGTGATGCCTATGGTGAGATCTATTGTAGTTCATCTGGGTTTTCTCCCTATCTGACCTCTGATTGAAGTCATGTTCACACTTCTCAATATTCATAGCTTCTACATGACTAATATGTGATTGGAGAGGAGAAGCTTGCAGATCATTTAGATGCTTTTTAAACAAAGAATCTGGCCGCTTGAAGTATTTTAGCAGAAGATCCTTGTTAGAGTCCAAAACCTCAAGTGTGTCACGGAAATCCTTTGAAGACTGTAAATCCTGATAAGTCGCAAGGCGTTTCGCATCCATGAACTTCTGTTCAATGAATGACATTTCTGCCTCAGTGGTCTTCAAGTCGGCGCATGCCTGTGATGCATACCTACTGCTCTCCACCTTTGAAATCTCCGACACCTCAAATACATCCTTAAATTCTTGCTGATCTTTGGGGCTTCTCCTAGACGATCGGCCATCATATGGCGCTCCTCTGCTGAGTGTTTTGTCTAATTGTGTTGTCTTCTGTAGATGGTTTTCTGAGAAACCCTTCTGCTGCTTATTAGTAGGCTGCTGGAATGGCAGCCCATCAAGACCCATCAATCTAGCAATAACCCCAGGGGATCTTCTTTTGGATTCAGTTTTTGGTGACATCTCGTCAGCTAATAACTTCTTAATTGGAGTCCCACACAACGGTTTCGAAGATCTCCACCCGAATTTGAATGAAAACTGCAAAAGTCAGCGCATTTGCTAATAATTATTAATATTTCTTTTCCTTTTCTACAAATAACCACGGGCAGAAAGAGAATAAAATGTAACCCCACCCCCAGAATGAATTAAGAAAGTTACGTTCATATTTCTAAATGCTGCAATATAGATCATGACCAATAGTAGAAAAAAAAACATTTGGAAAAGGAAAAACCAAATTACCGAATCTTTGTCAGCAACCCCACCACCGCATGAACCAGAACCAGAACCAGGAGACAGATTCGGATGTTGTCGCTGTCTATGAACCTGCTTGTTCCCTGCACATGAATCGTACGACAAATATTAGCACGAATCGATACGAGGAAAAAATAACTAAATAGTGCTACGAAATTATGTTTAGAATTACTAGAATCAAGGCAAGGAAGCAATCAGGAAATCGTTATAGGAACATGAACTGCATCATGCTCCGGGCGAACCATGACCCATGTTGTAAGTAACCAAAAAAAAAACCGTTTCGGAAACAATCGATGGTTTCGCACTGTAATGTGCAATCACAAGACATCATAATCGAAGAAAATAATCATGGAACCGAACGAAATCATACCGACAGCACCGCAGGAGAAGTTACAAGGCAGCTAAAATAATTTTGAATAAGAAAACAATATTAATTTTGGTCCTTATATTCATTTTGTTGTTTCGGCACAGGTTCTTCTACTTCCATAGTGTTAAAGATTTATCACTAGTGGACTAACAAGTTCAACTAAGGTACTAGAAGACTGATCCTTAATGAAAAATAAATAAAGGTCATTTAATTCAGACAATTAAATTAAATATTTAATAAAATAGTATTAAAAAAATTATAGTATTTATTAGAAAAGGCTAAAAATTAAATGCATAAATATTTTAAGAATAAAATGCATTAAATATACTCTCCAAAAAATATATATTAACTCACCAAAAAAAGACATTAAATATTATAAAAACTAAAACTCAAATTAATAAAAGCAGGTAGAAATTTATCGTCAACTAAATAAATAAAAACACAACTACTATTTTTGGGGCCAAAAATACCAAGTACCATGCCAGGAGAACTAAAGTAAGAACTAAGAAATGAAGTGAAAGTTCAGGTTTCTAATCGGTGTAAGTACCACGACCACTAGAGAATCGGAAATTCTCGAGGCGAAGAAACCAGATTAATCAAACTCAGTTAGAGAGAGGCAACAAAAAAGGAAAGAGCGAGAGAGAGAGACCTTGAGGAAGAGGTGGTTGAGATTGGTTGGAGGCGGCGACATTGAAGTTGGTGTTGCGAGATTTCTCCATAACGATTCATGAAAGAGGAAGGAATGCAGATCGAGAATATCGCAAAGGCTGAACGAAAACAGCGAGGAGACAAAACCCTAGGATTCTCAACTATTAATTCAAAATTTTTTTTTTTAAAAAAAAAAAGGAGAAAAAGGAGCGTGACAAGCGCTCACTGGAACAGTGAAAAGAAAATGCAGATCCTGAAGTGGACGAAGGGAAGGCTGATTAATGTAGAGATTGAATAGAAAGTGTGTTTCATGGTTTTGGGGAAATTAAAGAAAGAGAGAGAAAGCATTAATGGAGACCCGTTGTTGGCGATGAGGGAGGGAAGTGGGTTTAGAGAGAGAGAGACAGAGTTTTGAAGAGTGGGAGTGGGGTTTCTATTTGAACTTTCAAATACCAAAATGCTGACACCCAATACTCACTCTCTTCGCGGCCAAGTGGGGTGGCGTCGTGCGTGTGAGGATTGCCTCCACCTTCCTCACACGTGTCACCTTCATTGGATACCACGTTCCTCTCCATACTCCTCTTCCTGCTTAATTTCCGGGCTCCATATTCATCCAATACGCATAATGTAATAAGAAATTAAAATAATAAAAGCTAAATGCTTATAATTTCAAAATTCTTAGAAAATGACTTGTAGAAAATAACAAGAGCTGCCACTGCTACTGCAACTTTTTGCCCCTTTCAGTGTATTATGTGTCGCTTATGATTCAAATGCCACTCCTCATTGGTCTAAAAGTTCTAGATTCTCTCCTTCCTCACCATTTCATACCTCTCTATAAGATGCTTATGAATAATATTAAAAAATAATATTTTGGGGGCAGTTGCTCCAAAGCCTACAACATATTTAAAATACACGCGTAAATTAATTTTAAATTCATATTTTAAAACATGCGTTAAAATAAGAAGAATTAATTTAAAGATTTGACCAAATTGACATTAATTTATTTTTTGGCAAAGGACTCTTCAATGCAAATGAAATTAATTTAAAGCTGTAAATGCAACCTGTGTTGAGCTCAGGAGCATAAATGAGCCCAGTCAAAATTGAGAATTTACATTTTAAATTTGACTTTTGAAATAAATGTTTGAAGTTAACTCGTTTATTTAAACAAAATAAATTTAAAATTTGAATTTAAATTATTAATATCTTGAGTTATGAAATAAATGTTTAAATTTGACTTATTTATTTAAACAAGATAAATTTAAAAACTTAAAATGTTTGAATTTGACTTGTTAACTTATTGAAAATTCAATTTTTTTAACATGTGCAATATTACTAAGAATGATAAATTTTATATTATAAATTTTAATAAAAAATGGTAACATTTAATACTGTTAATGTATGAAATTACATTAAATTTATAATTTTCAATATAAATTTATTATATATAAATTTTTTATCTAATATTGTACAAATTAAATTATTTATAACTAAATTTTAAATACTTTTTTATTAATTAAGTATTTAATGAATATTTTTACACTAAAAAACTAAATAAATAAAAATAAAATATAAATTCATTTAGAAGATGACTTAACGTAAAAAAAATTTATAAAAATAACATATTTCTTTAAAAAAATTATGGCCACTTATTAAAATATAATCTTTAAAATTAAAATTAAATAAATAATATCAAATAATAATAATATAGATTAAAAGTAAATATAATAAATAAAATTATCATTATTTATTATATATATATATATATATATATATACACGTTAACTATTCATTAGTTATTAATGCTCAAATTTATAAAATTTAAGCTTAACTTATTTAAATAATCAAAGTCAAACTTTAAGCTTAAATTTATTTATTTAATTTAATAAAAAAATTTAACTAAATATTTACTAAGTTAAAATCGAATAATTCACCAATATCCACGTAGGATACTTCGTATCAAAAGAAGTTATAATTCTATTATATATTTAAGTATTTTAATTGTATGATATATTATTACAATTTGTTTATATTTAATTTTTATGACTGTGTTTAAGTTTTTTTTCAAATATAACGTTTATTATACATTTGTATTCCCAAAGTGATAAATATTAATTTTCTCAATAAATTTGATCATTTTATTTGTTTATCTTTAATTTCAAATATTAAAAATAACATTTCTATATTATTAATGTATACTTTTTTAAATTACTGTAGTAAAAATTATTATTCTTCATGATGTAAAATCTTGTGTTTGTATGTATTTTTTAAAAAATGTTAACCAATGTTCTATTAATATATTTTTATTTTCTTCTAAAATCTCATGTGAAAAAAATTAAAAAAATCATATTAAAAATGAAAATGTTTATTATTTCAAAATATAAAAGAAATTAATTCATATTTTTATAGTAATTTAGTATATTTAATTTAATATGTGATGTAACACACATTAAAAATATCAATATATTTATCATAAAGTTTAATATGTTATTAACATTTTCTTAAAATTCTTTTTTATCTAGAACTCTAAGAATATTGGTCAGAAAAACACGTATATCCTTAAATTATTTTGTTAATAAATTCTGCCTGTGGCCGGCAATTAGTACTTGACATGATTTTCAAATTTCATAACCTTTAGTTAAAAATTTATTATATGGATTCATCTTTGATTTAAGACTCTCTTGGTATATCAAAAAGATTTTTTTCTTATGAATCTCTTTGATAATATTTCTTATTTAATGAAGTAAAAATTATATATATATATATATATATATAATAATTTATTTGTTAGAATTTAAGATGAGATATAAAGATAATTTAATGAAATAAAAATATGTGTGTTTATTATTTTAAAAGTATATTATAATATTTAATTTCATTAATACATTATATTATGTCACATTCTATAATAATAATAATAATAATATGTATCCTTAAATATATGTTAAAAATATATATAAAAAAATAAAATTGAATAATTCTAAGTGATCCACCTTTTAAATAAAAAAATTTAAATAATAAATAAATAAACTATTAAATGCATCTTATATTTTGAATATAATAAATATATGTATATTTTTATTTAATGCTTACTTTATAAAGTATCAGAATAATAATTAAAAAAAAGTATGTTGAGATATATTAAAGAAATAAATAAATAAATATATTATTATTTTATTTTTTTTTAATGATGGCACTTATTAACATTTGTCATGAAATTTTCTATCAAAACACAAAATTCGCCCTCTTTATGTAATGCAACAAATAGTACACATACTTATAAAATATAACTGATGGGCCCACGTCTTTCTTAATTTTTAAAAAAATTGTATATGTAGTTTTTTTGTTTAAAAATGTATTATTTTATAATATGTTAATTAATATACTTAGTTGCTTTATGATTAAATTCTTATTTATCCTTATTTTTTACATTTTTTAAAAAAAATATATCACTAGACAGAATACAAACAGGAATTGATTTTTATCTTTCTAATTTATCAAAACATGATGAAAATTTAAAAAAAAAAAACTTTGAGCCAAAAAATTAATTATCTGAATTTCCCGATCATATATGCCATGCCCTAATTGATTTCAAGTGCGTTTAAAAGAGAAAATAAATCATATACAAACACACCAGTTAAGAGTTAAGCGTAACTTCGTTGGTATAGATTTATCTCTTAAAAACTAACTTTTTTGTAGAAATACTGTGGATTAAACGTGTAATATTTATGCTAAGAAAATTAAGTTTCATTAAATAAAAGTTATATCACTAGCAGTATATGATTTTTTATATCGCTATAATAATATCAAACAGACATTACTAATCTTTAATCAATTTAGGATAAATTACAGGATACAAGCTAATTGGGAATCTTTTGTGCATAACATTCTAATTTTGACTAGGAATCAATTTTGACTAATACTATAAGCTTGTTAACTAATTCAATATAATATCACTATAAGAATCACAAGGCATTCTCTAGTTCTAATTCAAATTGCAATAAGATCCTTTTAATGTGTTTCCATTATTGTTACATCTACTGAACAAAGAGAATGCATTTTTATAATGTTGAAGAATAGGAATTAATCTATTGTTTATAAGCATGCAGCATGCTCCCCCTTTTTTATTAATAAATAAATAAACGAGATATGGAAGGTGACTAGAATACAAGACACATGAAGCCAAAAGAATCTTTTAATTATGAAAGGAACTTAGCTTCTTAAACAAATCATAGCCATAAGGGGCCAAAATCTTATGCTTTGTTTTCTTGTGCTGTGATTTGTGAGTTGACGGCCTCATTTGTTTTGTTTTGTTTTCCGGAGGCACTCTGATTCGTTTGTTCGTCACAGGGATTTGTGCTGTGTATACTAATTTTTATTTTTATTTTTTAACTCTGTATACATTTTTCTTAAAACATTAAACAATGTTTATTTCAGGAGTTACCAAAGAAATTTTCATTCATGATTTACATTTTGAGAAAAAAATGAATTGAGTCTCACATTAAATGAAATATAAGCAAGTTAAAAGTTTATAAGGAGATGAATTCATGTATCTACTACCTCAAGATTTTAGATTGTATTATAGTGTTTTACTTGTTGTGAGACTCTTTATTTAAAAACTCTCTTAACCTTAATAGTAGTATCAGAGCTAAGTTAATTTAGGTGATCAACTCAATTCATATAAGACGAGTAGATAAACTACAATAAAAGAAGTCAACAGTGACACTAGTAACATTCATGTGTGAAAGGTATGATAGGTCAATATAAGTGACTAGCTCAAACGAGTAGATAAACTGTGACAGATAAAACTGAAAGATAAAATATTAGAATCAAATGTGAATTAAGTCTTATATAGAATAGGATATGGACAAATTAGAGAAAGAAAGCCAATAAAAAAAGTATTAAAATAAGTATAAATTGAGTCTCTCGTAAAATAAAATAGACAAGAGTTAAGAGTTAAGAGAAGAAGTATTAGAATCAAATGTGAATTAAGTTTCACATAAAAGAAGACATGAACAAGTTAGAAAAAGAAAACAAAAAAAAATATTAAAATAAGTGTGAATTAATTTTTTGTAAAATAAGATATAATCAAGTTAAAAAAATTTATATATATATATATATTTCCTTAAAGTTTTAAAGTAGGATTGGAG